CTTTGCCAATCGGAGTATTAGGCAATCCAATGAAATTATTTATGAGTGATAAATCGTTTTCATACGCGAATTCCTGTTGGTGTCAAAAGTAAAAGTCATATAATCAGAGAAAATCCCAAACAGTAAGCAATTAATTGTTCCAGTAACATCATTCTATTGATTTTACATATGGTGCTAACCTCAGTTGGATCGCCTAATTCCCAAGAACTTATAACCTCCAAAAAATTTTAAAAAATCCAATATCTACCTTCTCAACCTACCCTCCCAAGGCACGCACGATGTTCTAACATTATAGGTATTCTCTTTCGTGCGCTCCAAAGGATATAAAAAAAATAAAAAATCGAGGATGAATCTCCCCCAAGAGATAGGAAGTACTGATTCGGCTCACCAGGCCGCATCAGTCCATTTTCTGCTTGTGATTTATTTCATTGCAGGACATAGTTGATGAATCTGACGTATGAGCATTCAGAAAGAAAAGTTACTTTGTCAATATTGAAGACTTGAGCCTTTCAGATCAATTTTTCTTATTTCGTAGGTTTACACGACACAAAGTGACGTTTGGAGCTACGGGGTGCTATTGTGGGAAATGGTAACGTTGGGAAGCACCCCTTATCCAGGAGTGCCAACCCACGAGCTGCTGGGGATGTTGAATAGCGGCTATCGCATGCCCCAGCCTGATAATTGTAGTGACGAACTGTGAGTATACGAAATGTGGGAAACAGTCAATACTATCGATAACTATCTATCCTATCTGAAAAGTGCGGTGAAGGTGATATTGTCAGTTCATTGAAAAAAAAAAGTAAAAAATCGCCATTATATCGACAAAATTTTCAGTGGGCCGGTGACCTCATTTTTCATCCTAACCCTAAAAATTTTACGTATTCCTGTCAAAATTAACCAGTGTGTCAAGTTTGTAAACAAGAATGTCTCGTATTCAAACATTTCAAGTATGATCATTGTTTATACTTAACAGGATTGAATGGTTTTGAAAAGGTTGCTGTGGAAATACTGTTTATTTAACTAGAATAGTGATAAAATTGTAGTTGATTATTGAAGGTTTTGTGGCAAATTGCGTGTTAATCAACGGATCTTTCCTGTAAAATCATTTATCCTGACCCAGTCCATCGTGCAAACCCAGAGGCGCACTGAAGTCCCATCAAGAAATGGAATTTTGAGATGGGTAAGAGATATAGATGAAAAGGGCAGTGTAAACTCGAAATGTGTCGGAGGTATACGTACAGTTCGTACACAAGGTCATATATTGAATGAACCAGAGTAGCTGTTGAAAGGAGTCCAACTCGTTCTGCAAATCGGCATTTAACTGCACTAGGAGTTCCATGTTGATTAACCGGCCAAATTGCCATTTTAACACAAAACCTTCAATTACTTTATCAAATGAACAGTATTTCCACAGCAGCCTTCTCAAAACCATTCAATCCTGTTGCCAGACCCTGTATGTACAGATTAAAAACCATTGTTTATGCAATGATGAAATAGCTCAGTTTATTGATGCTATTTGAATTTCAGTAGAAAATGGAAACTGACCAGTGCTGTGAAGAAACATTACCGTTTGCACTTCAATTGAAATCATATAAACTACTCAACACTAATTTCGTCGCACACCAAAATGTCGCCCCTGTTATAATGTGAATAACTTTTTTCAGTTTACAACAATTTGAATTTGGTTCACACTGTTCGATAGCCCAGTCCTTCAGATATAATCTCGTACTTCATTGAAACATAAGGGTATTCACATAAAATCTCTACATGGTGTTTTCCGACACTGTGTAAAATTTCGGAATATTCAAAAGGCTCTCAAATGGTGAAACATTTTTTTTTCTCAACTTCGACAACAGAGGCATGGAGATGATCTCATTACCTCGAGATATTTCGCGAATCAACTTCCTATCTCTCTTATTTACAGAGTGATCTCAAAAAATCAACTTTTTGGTTTTGCAGCCATAGCTTTTTTCCACGTCAACCGATTTTGGAAATCTTAGGCTCATTTTGAAGATAAAACTTCAGATGAAGAGATCTGAATATCATAATTGACTCAAGATGGCTATGAAAGATCTAGAGTTCTCTTGAAAGTGACCCAAATCTGGAACGCCCTCCGAATCTCGATTGGGAGGAGAATTGAATGAAAATCAACGTGTCCTCGGAAAAACAATTCATTCTGGATGCGTCCATATTTTCCTCGCTCTCATTAGTCAAGAATTGTGCGTGAGAAAACACAATTGAAACATGTTCTTGCAAAAACATCAGACCGTTTCTCCTCTGTAATGCATGGCCCGTAACCAACGTTAGAAGAATCACAATGGACTGCCGACCAGCTAAGGCTCATCATAAATGGTGTACCAACAACCCTATGTGGTCTCGCATTGTCATCAACGAGAACAAAGTTGTCACCCACATTCGCGTTAGATGCGGCATCGAAACTATCGAAATCTGTTTATGATTCGAAAACGACCTCTAACCTGACTTGTCAGTCACTTACTGTGATTCTTGTAACGTTGGTTACGGGCCATGCATTACAGAGGAGAAATGGTCTGATGTATCTGCAAGAACATGTTTCAATTGTGTTTTCTCACGCACATTCTTGACTACTGAGAGCGAGGAAAATATGGACGCATCCAGAATGAATTGTTTTTCCGAGAACACGTTGATTTTCATTCAATTCTCCTCTCAATCGAGATTCGGAGGGCGTTCCAGATTTGGGTCACTTTCAAGAAAACTCTAGATCTTTGATAGCCATCTTGAGTCAATTATGATATTCAGATCTCTTCATCTGAAGTTTTATCTTCAAAATGAGCCAAAGATTTCCAAAATCGGTTGACGTGGAAAAAAGTTATGGCTGCAAAACCAAAAAGTAGATTTTTTGAGATCACTCTGAAAATAAGAGAGATAGGAAGTTGATTCGCGAAATATCTCGAGGTAATGAGATCATCTCCATGCCTCTGTTGTCGAAGTTGAGAAAAAAAATGTTTCACCATTTGAGAGCCTTTTGAATATTCCGAAATTTTACACAGTGTCGGAAAACACCATGTAGAGATTTTATGTGAAAACCCTCATGTCTCAATGAAGTACGAGATTATAGCTGAAGGACTGGGCTATCGAACAGTGTGGGCCAAATTCAAATTGTTGTGAACTGAACAAAGTTATTCACATTATAACAGGGGCGACATTTTGGTGAGCGACGAAATTAGTGTTGAGTAGTTTAGTATGCACGCTAAGAATAGAAAGGCTATAGGAACTGCTCGTTCACCTTTATATTTTTGATAACTTTGACATCTCTCTCAAAACCACACTTACATTGACAGTTTGTCAACCGAGAAAACAAAGGTCGCGCGTCATCGGTCCGTTAGAAATTCAAACAGTCAGAATAAATCTTATCATTTTCAGTAATAACAGCGGTATTGACATGCAGACATATCTTGAGTCAGTGAACAGACATGTTATACCTCGCCTACTAGATCGATAATGGTTTAACTTTAACAAAAGAAGTCACAATTGAAAATATAACTCACCTCTAATATCCGAATATTTCCTAGGTATGCCTTGATGCGGAGCTGCTGGAAAGAAGATCCGAAATCCAGGCCTTCATTTTCAAGTCTTCGGGAAACCTTGGACGGGCTATTAGAGGGCTATTCAGAATACTTGAAATTGAACAATTCGGTAGAAAACGCCGCAGATATAAGATATGACAATCTTAATACTTGATGCTTTTATATGCTTTTACGAATCAATATTTGGTGTAATTGTTTTTTAAAAAGATGACACTTGTGTAATGTGGAGGTGGATCACGGAAATTTACAGATATACCGGGTGTTTCTAAACAGTGGATCATCCTATAACTTTTTTGTTTCTATAAATGAACAAATAAAATTTGGTGTGTAAGTATAGTATAGTTCATAAATATGCATTATTTGGTCACGTCGGCCATTTTGGAAACAAATGTCCACTTGTGACATATCATTGAAAATGGATTTTTTTGCTCTATCGATTGACGTGAAAATATATACAGGTTTCCATTTAAAATGATTGACCTGAAGTAAGTTTCCGGTAAAACCGGAAGTGATATCCAATTGTTTTTTCTTGAAAAATAATGGCTTTGAAGAACCCTATCATTGATCCGAATTTCAAAATTCTAACTTGAAAAACAACTGAATCACGGCCTGTCCAATGATCTCGTTCTCACCCGGTATACGCTGTGGACGTATTTCTGCATCCCATTGAAACACCTCGTTGTTCATTCCTTCTCAAACACTTACAAACAACTCAAATTCATGTGTGCATAATATATCATAGCATTTGCAGAATTCCCAACTCTTGGTATTGGATTTTATTTAGCTTCAGTTTAGTTTTTTTTTCTTGAGAATCTAGAATCTGAATATTCTTTGATTAAAGGTCATGATAAAAAAATTAAAAAAATACTAAACCACAACAGTTGCATGCAATTCGAAGTCAACGTTAGAGAAAGGAATGAACATCATCTGAAAAATGTAATTTGTAGTAACATAAACATTTTTGGAATTTGGAAATCTCTTTTTCTGGCAGTCCACCTTTTATGTTATCAATGTGACTTTCCCTTAATGGTAATTTTAAATATATCAATTGATTATGTTAGTGAAAAAAATATGCTTCAAAAGCCAGAGATGTTTACAATGTTTTAATACAAATCAACTTTATAGTAACAAGAACGAAATTGTTAAGATTTCGATACAGTAATGGAAATATATAGGTATATTTTGTAAATAAACATTATAAAATAATTATATAAAGCATACGAAGTATCACTGTTAAACCTACAACAATATACAAGTTTATACAATCTATACACCGGCATTCGAGCAAAGACCGCTATGTCCTCTCATTTCGAGATACATTGACGGACAAAATGGCGGCCGCCCGACGCCTATTGCTTGGTTACGTCGGGAATGTGACTTTTTTCACCGGTACCGTTCTAACCTCTAACCATAATCGGATGGTTGCATGAAGAGTCAGAAAGTCTCGCTCTTTGACAACGGGTCATCCCTTTCGACAGGTGGCGGTGCCACATTTACCTTGCTACTGGGTCCTTGGGTCAAATAACCGGCAGTTACAGGAGTACCGCCTGAAAATCATTGGGAATTTCAGAAGGAGGGAAAAGCTAAATCCAAAATTAAAATCGTCGAAAATCATTCCAAAGTTGTTCTAAATCTGTACTTATAAAGGCTAGAGTTTCTTAATGTACTTGACACTTGTTTTGACGTTTTCGTATATTGAGGGTAGAGCGAGTAGATTAAGTAGTGGTCACAATAAACCTCAAGATGGCTACCGTTTCCGGAATGTCATTCGTGGTCAAGTCACTGAATAGTTGAAAACCAGAAGGGTATCTGACATGCAGTAATGAATTTGCGCCTTCGAAGTGCCCACCTGATGTTAGGTTTAGATATTTGATATTTTCATTTTATCATCTAAATAATCTGAGACTTACGAGTCCCAAAAGACGAAAGAAGAAGAAAAGATTCTAATAGTTAATAGCCACGTTACCGACGTATAGAGTTGCATGTCTGATTTTGGATGTTTTGTGTCCAGAAAGCGAGAAACAGTGACAAAGCGTTGAAAAATTCAAAATCATTTGTCGTAGTCTCAACTATTTGAAAAAAAAATTGACAGCTGGAGTTTCCAACAAGACTGTGTCCTTTTAGAAGGACAGAAGGCAAATGAGTGAAATTTCCTTGAATAAAGGTTTCTATTATTCTGTATTATTTCAGTACATAAAAACCATTCTGAACATGAAATCGAATGAAGAATGTGAATTGTGATTCAACTAGTCTCTGTCATAATAGGGATTGAAACAAAACAAGTATCTTAGAGAGCAACGTTGCACTTTTGGCATTTGGTGACGTTTTTATGAAAATATCGGAATCTAGTTTTCTTGTCCTGCGTTACCATCGCATGATCGTAACAGCAATCTGCGTTTTCCAAGGGAGAGGGTTTAGAACGTTTGGAAAATGTAACTGCGTAACTGGTTCACAATAATTGAGAGGAGACATAATTGTCACATATTTCAGATTGTTCATTATTAGTTTTGTCATCTAAAGATTGCAAAGTGAAACCACGAGAAACATTGCTTATGTGCCTAATGTCCTTCTCAGAGAACAGTTGAAAATTTGAGGTTGTGAGATGCAGATTCAAAACACACAATGCATTGAGATTTTTTTGACAACAAAAATAATTATGAAAGATTATCAGTGCCATCCATGAGAATATTCACGAAGATACCCAAATTACGCAGTAAACTTTTTACGAAGTGTCCTTATAGAAGGACGGTATGCATATCTGGGTTAATGTTTGAAAATTCCACTAAAAATCATGCATCCTCCGTTAACGACAGACATTTTTTTAAATAGAAAATGACACTTACCGGTAAGGTAGCCAGACACGTTCGTATTGGAAATGAACAAATCGTGTTTCTGATCCTTATAATCCGCCCAAATAGCGCTCTTCTCCAAAATACAGTTCACCCTATCGCCGTACAGCAAATTCTTGCTCATCGACTTCAGCGCTTTGACGATCTGCGCCTTGGTCATGGCAGGATTGTCGATCAGCTCCAAGCGAGCCTCTAGTAATCCGAGCAGGAACTGCACGAACTCCACGTCCAGCGCCTGCTTCACCAGCTGCTCCTGGTTGCTCGAGAACAGCCTGTCAAGGGCCTCGCAAGCCACGGCGACCATGTCTTTACGCGCTAGCATCGCTTGCTTCAGCGGGTGCATGCAATCGGTCTGCGCTATCGCCCCCACGCAAATCTGAGGGAACGTGCAGGGTGATTTGATTTTTTCCAAAAAAGTAGACCGAATTACAATGGGTTGCGTGCAAGATCAGTCGGATGACCTACCCTGGAGGTAAAACATTGAAACAAAACCTCACTTTTCTCAACTGTTTTCGAAGGATTGAAATAGTTTTTCGCAATTATTTTGGCATACGACTCGTGTTTTCGGCTATTCCTTAATTCAAGCATGCTATCACATTGTGCTGTTGTACAATGCATAAAACATGCAGCAGAATATGTCTTACATCATTCTGTAATGTGCTAGTAAAGTTTTTTTTATGTTCTGGTTCCCACGAAAAGGGATATCCTGTAATGTTCAGAGAACATCGAGAGAACCAAGGGAAATGAGGTAGGAATTGGTGTTCTTCTTTAATTTCTGGAGGTTATATGCTTTGGGGAACACCTCCCTTAGCAATTTGTTCCAGAGCCTCGCTGTTCGTTGGATGAACGAGTCTTCGGAAAGAGATGTTCTGCAGGTCTCCAAAGTGACCACGAAGGGGTGCGAAGCCTCAACTCGACGGGTTAATCTCGCGGGAACTGCCAAGGGAGAAACAATTGTTGATATTTCAGAAGAGCATCGTCCATGAAAATATCTATAAAATAGAGCCAGATCGCCAACTTTTCTACGGTGTTCCAGAGAAGTGAGTGAGTTTTTGAGCGAGGCATCACTCACGAGACGAATTGCCCTTTTTTGGACAGAATCCAACAGTTTCAGGGTATGTTTGGGTGCTGCACTCCAAATATGGGAACAGTATTCCAGGACAGGACGGATCTATGCCATATAGATCATAAGCAGCTGACTAGAAGTGAAATAGCTCCTGGCCCGAAACAAAAAAACAAGTTTTTGGGATGCAATTTTAGCAATTGATCTCACGTGATTTTCCAAAGAGAGGTTATTGCTGATAGCAATACCAAACATCGAAATGGATGTCTTCAAAGGTTTGATTCCTCCTGACAAGCTTATGTTGGGCACAGTGAGATCGGCTTTTCTAGAGAAAAGGCATGCTTGTGTTTTGTTTGCATTGAAATCGAAATTTGCAATATTTGAAAAACACAAAAGCAAGCCCTCCATTGAGACTACTTGAATACCATAATATGTATCATCCAGAAATTCTGATACTGTCACCTGTCATTCTGTCACCAAACTGACCAAATTTTCTCAACTTTAAAACATTTTATAGGTTTCTCACAATTTCTCAGTTAGTTGATGCCAAAAATGATTTCAATTTGGACCATATCTTTCTCTGTTGGTTATCTTCCATCAGAAGTTACAATAAATGCCAAACAATTATCAAGAAAAAAGATTCGGAAGCATTTTTGGCATGTACTGAGATATTGTGAAAATACTATATTGCCCTTCTCAACCAATTCTAGTTGGGTGTATGTAAAGTATTATGACCTCAATTCTTCATAGTATGGTCTCAATATAATTTTTGAAAATTTCACTCAATTGAGTTATCAGGAAAAAAATTGATCACCCTGTATATCAAGTCAACACCTCATTAATTATCACTTACACTACTCATGGTCAGAGAATTCAAGATGCATATAGCTGATTTTGGTACCACAACTTGTTTGAGATTCACTCCCAGTTGTCTACATAACCTAGGAATGTGACCCATCGAAGGTACGAGGTCCAAAAGGGCCGGTTGGGACTGCAATAGAGAGCACAGGGCAGTCGTACAGAGCTCCAACAGTTCCACCTTGAAGAAAAAAGCGAACAAATAAATATTGGCGCCCAACGTGGGGCTACACGGTACTCACTTCTGGTTTGTCTTTGCTCATCAGGTTAAGGCAAGTTTCGAGCAGTTCCGTGAGAAATTCCCTGGGTTTCCTGAGCGCCCATGACGGATTAGAGATGAAGATTCTCAGATACACTCCGGCTATGCAAATTTCGTTGGGCATGGCGATATTGGTGAGCCCATTGGTGTCGGGCATCTTCCACGGTGCCGAAGCGTTCGAACTCTGCGCTGTTTGATGCCTATTCAGTTGATCAAGTCATTAATTACTTTATTGAATCTATCATTTTCATGATCAGTTTTCAGTAGTGTATACCATGTTTTATCTATATTAACTGAACAGGAATCAATGCAAGATCAATTAATGAAAATATCCAGTAACCCATTTGTATACTAACATCATCACTCATCCATATGCCAATATCAGTATGTCACTGAGGAGTGTCAAACTATAAGAACAGAATTTTCGAAGAAAAATGTTTTGCATTTTGCTGATTCGTTCCCGAAACGTCTAAAGATGAGTAAACATTTAATATTTTTTCAATATATCTATATTTTTTCTCTTTGAACTCAATCTTAATAGGACATTATTGAATTCTGTTTTGGAAAGATGGTGAGATGAGCTGCGTTAGGCAATCAGTTGGTTGGCAAATTTGAAATTGTCACCTTTCCAATAAATGTAAATGAACTTAGAACATGGAAAGTGAAGAGACCAAATTTGGAAAATCTGTTGAGATGACAAATACGTCAATTTACATACCTCAATGAATACCATCCATCACTGACTCTAGCTATATCATTGCATCAACAGTGTTTTTTTCTTGATGCATCCTGCTTTCATTAAATTATTTGTGTAACTTGATATGTTTCAACAAGATAAATAATTTGTTTATAAACTTGACAGAAAGGTCGATCTTGGCAGGAGTACGAAATAATTAAATGGTTAACAAATTAATAACTTAGTTAGTAACAGAAAATATCGTCGATAAGATCGATTTTTTTGTTTGCATATTTTTCTCAGTGAACAGACTACTAGATTTAGAACGACAATGATGTATTATGCATCCCTATTAAAAATAGTCAAGTTCCTCGGTGTAATGAAGCCAATCAATCACTCAATCAATTAATCAATCAATCAATCAATCAATCAATCAATCAATCAATCAAAGCCAATCAATCAATCAATCAATCAATGAAATCGAACTTACTCTTTCCGGTAGCGGGAGACGATTTTGCAAACGCGATCCTTGGACTCCTGGTCCCAGATGAGCTCGGGATGCTCGTGCGCAGACTCGAACATGGTCACCGCCGCCTCCGAACTGTCGCGCATCGCGTCGGCGAAGATGGGCGGCAAAAAGGCGCCGAGCGCTAACCTCACTTTCGGTCCCACCAGCTTATCGAGATTCATCCTGGCGATCAGCTCAGCGCAAGACTGCCGCACCTGTAACGAATAAAATGAAATTTAATCTCTGGTAGAAGTCAATGTTTGCTCAAAGTTGAGTAGAATTTTTCAAAAGGTAGAAGGAAAGCTCAAAGTCATCTCTACTACTTTATTAATGATGTAGTCAATCAAAGGGACATGTCTCGTTCCATCTTCAGTCGTATTTTAGAAGTTAATGGAGGTCATCATTATATGTTTTTAAAATGGATGCTGATGTCTGTCATCATAATATCGTGATTGTTGATAAATATTGTTTGAGAAAAAACGGGTTTTCATTAGAAATGAAGGGCCCCGTACCCGCCCGTACCCGCCCGTACCCTAGAAACGCGCACTTATGAAATCCAAAAGTCAAGTTCGAGTTGGGAAACTTGACGAGCACCCAAGGTGCTCGTAAAAACCATATTAGGCTGTAAGACAGGAAAAACCAAAGGGTTGTTATAACTTTCATATTAAGAAAAAGTATGAATTTGTTTCCACTGAGTGGAGTGAGTTATGTTTTTTTATATTTGTTCATGTATCCCTATTATAACCAGACATATTTCTTGGGGCAATAAAAACAATGAATCGCTCAATAAAGATAAAACTTGAATCATACTAACAAAATCAATCCAACAAATAAAGAACTTTTTCCCAAGGGCAAATCATTACTATACCCTTGGGAAACATGCCACGATTTTTCAGGCTGAAGTATTTGCAATACTTGCATGTGTTCGAGAGAATATCGAGAGGGGCTATCACAGCCAGCAAATCACTATGTGCACTGATAGCCAGGCGGCGATCAAGGCGCTCACCTTGTATAGGGTGACCTCCGCCTTGGTGTCAGAGTGCATAGAAAGCCTACAAAGGCTGTCAGCAACGAACAAAGTATGTCTTTTGTGGGTTCCTGGACACTCAGGGGTACCAGGTAACGAAATGGCCGATGGTCTGGCCAGAAAGGGGGCGAAGGGTTCAGTGATTGGCCCAGGGCCAATCTTAGGGGTCACTCATCCTGGAGCAACTTCAAGATGAAGGAAATCCTGACGGAAAGGTTTCAGGACAGCTGGAGAAAGGCTCCTCGAATGAGGCAGTCCAAACTCCATATAGGAAACCCGTCACGAAGACAGACCAATGCCCTCTCGGCTTTGAACAGGAAGGAGCTGAAACTGAACAAACATCTCAGCATGATCGGGATTGTGGAGGATCCTGAATGCAGATGGTGCCTAGAGGATGAAGAGACTTCTACTCACATCCTCACTGAATGCCCGGCAATAGTGGCAGCAAGGGATATCCATTTTGGGAGCAGTATCCTGGACCCAGAGGATGTTAATAAGATTTGGCCTAGGAGGTTGGTCTCTTTTGCTCGCGTAAACGGCCTTCTCCATGGCTGACTTGCGATCCCAAGAATGTGGGTGTACAATGGGCCCGAAAAGGGAGGCCTAAGTGCGTCAGGTCCCGGACCGCCCACACACATACATACATACATAAAGAACTTTTAAAAGAGACTGCACCATTGATACTGTTTCATCGATTTCTTTCCTGGGTCTCACAATTGACACAAGGGTTGACTGGACATGTCATATTGCAAAATTATCTGTACGACTAGTTATAGTTATAGCCTTGAGTTGAGTTGTGGAAAAATTCAAACCTTCGTTCTTCAAATCTCAAAGTAGCAAAAATATTTAGCTGTCTTTATATTAAATACGACACACTGAAGTCATACATACATATAATATATTGGAGATAATCCGAACTTGCTAAAATTAGATCACGCACCTGTGGGTTCGTCGAATTGCAGAAGAGATCCAGCAGATAGATGACGGCACCCTTGTTGAGAGCCTCTTTTACTATTTTAGTGGTGGCCATCAGGGCGTACAAAGTTTCCAGTATTTGGGGCTGGCAGTCTTGCAGACCGAACAAAACTAGAAGAAGGTGTCCTAAGACTTCACTGCAGGCTATGTCATTGATGCACTCGTTATTCCTGGTGACGACAGAGATAACTGCCAAAGCACCTTTCTGCACTGAAAAATTAGTTTACAGAATCAGATTATGTCATGAAACACAACAAATGAACATCACAAATTGAAGAACAATACCAAATATAGTACATAGATTAGTCTCACTTCGTAAAAAAAAAAGATTGAATGTTGAAATAAGTTTTTGGGTGCATGATAAATTGACATTCATCATACAGGGCGTGGAAAGAAATTCTGAATTGAGACTTTATCACGAATCTGCGATTAGAGGTCTATAAAAATCACAAGTTTCCATCGTTCAAGTTTGAACCCCCTGATTGGGTATGAAAGTATTGAAAAGGAATATTCTCAGATAAATTATGAACATACAAAAATGGATATATATTTATATAAGGCAATACATTGAGAATTCGCATTCTCTATGTGATGAGAATATTTACTCTTTCTCAGTTGATTCAATAGAAAACAACTACTTTCCTGGCTATATGCCACGAAGCCACGACGAACATTGAATTATATCTATTGAACACACACGATAAGAGTTTGAAAATAAAATATAAAAACTTCTGAAATTGAATGTTCATCAGATATAATTCAATGTTCGACGAGGCAAATAGCCAGGAAAGTAGTTGTTTTCTGTTGAATATTCAGAATGATGTGTGCATATACATATTTTTGTCTGCAGGGGAATGCAAATTCTCAATTTCAGAAGTTTTTATATTTAATTTTCAAACTCTTATCGTGTGTGTTCAATAGATATAATTCAATGTTCGTCGTGGCATATAGCCAGGAAAGTAGTTGTTTTCTATTGAATCAACTGAGAAAGAGTAAATATTCTCATTACATAGAGAATGCGAATTCTCAATGTATTGCTTTATATAAATATATATCCATTTTTGTATGTTCATAATTTATCTGAGAATATTCCTTTTCAACACGTTGAAATAAGTGTTGTTTATAAAGTGACTGGTGTCAATGATTATATCAAAATAGTAGATAAACTAATTCGTAGACATACATTCAAGTTAGCCCTTCTTCTACGACTTCTCAAGTGGATAAAAATAACAGAGTGGTTCAAAAGACAATTGAGGGTTACTTAATGAAAATTTAGTATAAATGTGACTTTTCATTTAACTTCTTATTAACACGTATTTATTTTTCATTCTCACTGTATTTTTTCATGTTGATCTAGGTTTATTTATTATGTGACAATGTATTTAGTTCTTCAACTAAATAAAGAGATATATATAATATTCCAGAAGAATCACAATCCCGTTCATTCCTAAGTACACAAAATGGACTTGATAAGTTTTGAAAGTGTATATCAGCTAGGGAAAAAAGTGCAGGGGGGCAAAAAAATGATTTCTTCTTGAGTGTGAGTCTTATTTTACTGTTTACTTTATTTTGTCAAATTTATTTATATATTCACCATGTTCCCTGCTATAAACAAATGTTGTTTCTTGGAAATAATGAAGTTGTTAGATTGAATTACAAAACTCGTCCGCCATCTTGAATTTACAAATTTTGACGAAAGAATCCTACTCTCTGACACCAAAAACCGCCAGATAGCAATTTTGAATAGAGTCATAATTACAATACTCGTGCGCCCTATTTGATCCACCATGTTGAATTTCCTAATTTTGACGAAGTAATCATATTCTCCGACCCCGAAAACTCCCAGATACTAATTTTGAATAAAATCGGATCATAGTTACAAAACTAGTCCACCATATTGAATCCGCCATCTCGAATATGTAATTTTCACGGAGGAATCATAATCTCCGACCCCGAACACCCCCATATACTAATTCTGAATAGAATCGGATCATAACTACCATAGATCAAAATCCGCCATATTGAATCCACTATCTTGAATTTCCTAATTTTCACGAATTTTGATACTTATTATCAGACTAATAGAAATCATCCAAAAAATAAAATATACAAATTGATCCAGCTGAGGTCCAGCCGCTTTTATATGCATGGGACACACCCTTCCGATTTCTAGCTATTCAGTGACTTGAAGGTGACGTGAGATGACGATGACGCGAAATCCAATGTTTTTCTTCATCCAAAAAAGTGCTGAGCCCGCCTTATCCCTAAAGAAGTTTCAACTCCAATAACTACTACTTACCAGGCACGCAACTAACGTTCAACAACCCGAACAGCATCTTGAAATGCCCGATGCACTGCATCTCCACTCCAGTATTGTTCCTTATCACATTGGTTAGGGCTTCCAAAGCCATCACAGCATTATCTATGGTATTCCCGACCGTCACCGAGTACGCTACATTCACGAGATTCTGGAGGTACTGCGACCGGTCCTTCACATAGCCTAACAAATCGATGACGAAGCCCTTGGCATCCTTGATGGGATAGGTGGGCTGCTGATTGTATATCTTGATGAAGATGCCGCCTATCCTGAGTTCCTTGGCGTGAGCCGAGTAGGAGAAGTCGCTCGCTATGCTGTCGTCGAACTCGCTGCGGTTGTTCCTTTGGGTTTCGAGGAAGTCGGTGAGTTCGGCCCTGGTGCCGTTGTCCCACACCAGGTACGGGGTCTCGCTGTTGCTGTTGAGCACCTTGAGGAGCTGAAACAACGGCGAATACGGCGAATCAGGTACAGGGTCTCTATAAATGATCGTAACATCGTAGTGGCTGTTGAAATTTTTTTCCATTTGCCGCTTTCTACTAATGCTGTTAACAACATTTAACGACCAAAAAGAGAGGGAGTGATCATATACAGGATCTTTTTTTAAATCGTTTTGCATACACTATGGAAATGTATCTCAAAGAAAGGAGAGTCCAATATTGGAGTTTGAAAATTGATGGAACAAATCAAAAATATTTATTGAAGAAGTAATAAATAATGGTTTAGTTCATTAACCTACATCAAACGTTCAAAATGTTCTCCGTTGTTCTCCAAGCTTTTCAAAACTCTTCGCAGTTTGTTGTCGAAAATGTTCTTCAGCATTTCGGGGCCAATATTTTGGCATCAATGTGTTATTGAGGCTTGCAACTCTTCAAGGTTATTATTGTCTCTCTTGAATACTTCGTCTTTCAAATATCCAAAAATGCAGAAATCCAAAGGCGTCAAATCTGGAGAACGTGTTGGAAATGAAAGATTAACTCCTCGACTTATCACACGGTTGTCATAAAATTCTTGTAAATGTTCTAAATTTGCACGTGTGGTGTGGGCAGTGGCCCCATCTTGCTGACAATAGCCAACTCGAATTTCTTCATCATCAAGTTGATTGATGAATGGTTCTAACATCACTTGTCTGTACCATTCACCATTGATAGTGCCATCGAAGAAAATCGGTCCATATATTCGCCTACGAGAAACTGCTAACCACACCCCAATTTTTTGAGAATGTAGTGGAGTCTCAATGACATTGTGGGGATTCTCAGATCTCCAAAAGCTAAAATTTTCTGAGTTCACGTATCCCGACAGATGAAACCAAGCCTCATCGCTGAAAAATGTTAGGTCCAATAGCTGGTCATCGTTGAGATTATTTTGGAACCATTGGCAGTACTCCAAACGACGTGGGATATCTGATGTGGGCTTTCAAAGAAGATTCTTGAAACTGTACATTAGGATATTTCGCCAGGTACTCATCCTTGCAGGCTACTACCGAGTAACTCCATCCACATTGATGAATGTGCCATTTCGACAATAAGACATTACAATAAATGTATTCTGCTCCGAGGAATAAGCCATCCCTCTTTTCAACACGACAATCACGAAGTAGAAAACAGAATCGTTTGAAAACTTTAACGAAAAACTGACAATTGTGAGTTTATCAGCTATGACAGTATAATGATTGATAAGGCGGCAAATGGAGAAAATATTTCAACGGCTACTACGATGTTACGATCATTTATAGAAACCCTGTAGTTTCCAATATTGAGGTTTTTACTGTGAGGTTTGTAAAAGTGAAATATACCGGGTAATTCAAATTGTAGGGCCACCATTGGGATATCGGAAACTAGAGATAATACGCAGATGGTTGAATTGTGAATTTTTTTAATTTCGAGTGTTTTCGGGGATATACGAAGAAAAAATAGAAATTTTGATAAATCATTTTTTTCTGCAACCGACACACCATTTTAATACCAAAATTAGCTCTTGAATTGACGTTCTTATTACTGACACAAAAATAGGTATGTTGCTAGGCAACACATTTAGTTCCTAGGAGCTAACGTTGAACTTTAGCTTCTAGGAACTGAAAGGAGTGTACTAGAAGTCATCAAGAATAAACAACATTGTTATGGTTGGTTATTTGGGTTGGGACGCACACCTGATTTGTTTCCGATTTCGGCAGATTTGGCATTTCATACCCATGCTGGAGATTTATAATATACACAATATTATAGTCAAGTATTCTTGTTTTGATCAGGGTCGCCTTCAAGAATCACATGCTCGCTTTATATGTATTTATTTCGTTATTTGCGGGATGAATCACTTGTTTTTGAATAATCACGGCCAGCAATAGTTTTTCATCTCAAACAACGATATTGTATACCTCCATTTGATTATCGAGCCAAATACAGTGAAGTTTTGAGAGAAATAAATAATCGCTATTATTATTGTTGATTTGCTCACTAACCTAACATTTTCCACGTCTTGTTCCTATACCTGGCACTGTCGCGGTATTTGCCATTAGAGTACCTGGTCCATGAACAAATGTCACTCTGTGGTTGTATTTAATATATAATATATAATATAATATATATAATATATATTTATTGTTCATTCATATATACAATACATGAACAAGGGCGGTGGCATGGGAATGAGTGGTCATATTATTAAGTACAATAGAGAGACAGAAAAATAAAATGAAATAAAATATATGGAAATCAAGTCATAATAAGAATCTACCTGCCTGATTGGTGACAAAATAGGGAACACCCCTCAACAACGGTTGGGTGATCACATCCAGTTTCGCATCAATATTGATCCTATTCATTAACTATGAATGCTCTAAGTTTCATCGCTCCGCTCAGGAATTGGTACAGTTTGGTGAGTACGGAGAAATCTGTTGATGATAGTATCGAGTCTAAGTCGTCTGAATGTCCTCTAGGTTCGATCATGTTGCTTCTTAGATTTGCATACATCGGGCAGATCAGCAGTATGTGTTCGAGAGTTTCTGGTAATAAGCAATTACAAATTGAACAGATGGCATTTGTTTCTATTTTATATGAGTTGTTATTAACATATATAAATAGCTTTTCAGTGTTGGCTGTTCGAAGCTGAGCTACAATTCTCTTAATATGTAGTGGGCCTGCGTAGCATAAGTAATTAGTATTATCACATTCATTCTGTAGAAGGAATTTATAGATAGGGTGATGAATACTGAGCAGTATTTTATTTTGATCTTCTCGGGTATTTTTGTTTAGGTAACAGGTTAGTATGGTTTGTTTCGTGGTTCGATTGATATCGTTAATGTTCAAATCTAAATCACAGTAGGTAATAAGACAACGGTGTAGATGGTCAGCCCAGTTGTATTTCAGATTATTGTTCCCTGACTCTTGCAGTTGAATTAGATGACGAAGCGCTCGGTGCACATATCTTTTAGAATCTTTGTTTTTTATTCTTAGCAGAAACTCTATGGCTTGTTTTATTATGTGATATCCTATTTTACATGATTTAGTTTCTGTTCTGATTATATGTGCCCCTGTAGTTTTTTGCAAGAATAGAAGATTTCTCCAGAAATTATTTTGTATCTTCTCGGTTTGTTCCAGGTGACGGAGTCCCCATATACTACTAGCATATGTGAAAGTAGGAATTACAACATTGTTATACAAAGTTTTTATATTTTCAAGAGAGGATACTTTAGAGCAATGGGCCTGTTTCAGTGAAAAATTTTATTTCATTATTTCGAAGTACTAACCCTAACTAGTTCACTGTCGCAAACCGTTTTTTCCCCAGAGCTCTGTACATTTTTTAAATAATTATTGAAATACACGATATTTCGTAACATGAAAAACGCGGGAAAGCGCGTGACGTAGGCAGCCGGTGAACAATTCATATGAGATTCGACATACATATCCATTCTCTCTCTCTTAGACAAGTGCAAACATATTTCTGATTGTCATTTATCAAAATATGTGAGATGAATATTTTGGTAATGATACTAAAATTGGAGAAGAAGATTGCGTATAACCTAACCTATGTCCTATGGTAGTCGTATATTTTATACCGATTTGTCAAAATAGTAGTGAGAATTCGCCTGAAAAACTGTTTTCGACCGTCCCGGCTAGTACCCAACGCAGGAAAAACTGGCAGTGCATCTGGAATTTATTTCAGGACATGACCTCTACTGCTGTGAGGATCATTTCAATGTGGGTTCCCATTGTGAAATGTGATATCCTTGTCACTTTCCGATATTCCAGCTTGAAGACAATTCAGTTAATTGCATGTTTTCCAAAATCATTGGAACAACACTCAAGCTGAAACCTCATGCAGTGCCACACAAGTTCTTGAATGTACCGCCACCCACATACGACATACAAAAGAAGTGTACTGACTGATAAGGGAAACAAAAGGAAAGCAGAGTTGCTGGAAAATGTTTGGAAGAAACGAAAAATACAGCTATCAGATTATGCAGAACTAAGTGCAGAACCCTCATCATCCAAAAATGTAGCAAATACATCTATATCAGTTCCTGACATCATTGAGGTTGAGGAAGAAATAGTTATTCAGACTAATATAAAAGGGCCATTCAGAAGTAGAGGTGTAAATATGGAAAATAAAACTTTTCATGATGTACCCAACCAATGAATCATATCAAGTTGAGGGAGAAGAGTGTGATCAAACCTTATTGTATGAAACCTTCATTTTCAAGTTCATATACAATATCTGAATCTCTTTCATCTCCTACAAGAAAATATGAGCTAAACAGTTCAACTGATCTTGATGAGATTGCTGAGGAGATTAGAGACAGATATACAAAAGCCAGTTATAAAGAAACTGAAATTTATGCAATAGAACTTTATCAAGATTTTGGCTGATAGAATAGAGGCTTTAAACATATTGCCACACTGAGAAAGGTTGTGAGTTAGTTAGGCCACCAAGTGTATCATCACAAATGAAATCTACACCACAAGAAGTACAAAATAGCAAAATTATAGCATCTCTGAGAATTCATGTTGAAAGAGTTATTAGGAGAGTACATGCAAAAATGAACTATTGGTTTTTTTATATGTCCATGGGTATAAGTGTTTTAGTGCTTATGAATAGTTGTGACAGTGATAAAGTGAAATCAAATGGTTCCATTTTTAATGTGTATATATTTTAGGTACACCAAAGCAACCAAAGTTGGCATGGTTTTGTGAATTTTGGTGTAACAAGTTCTATAAAAAAATATCTACCTATTTATAATATATCATTCTACCATTGTTCATTTTTGTTTCAATCAGATCACTGAATACCTATTTATAATGTTCTATGTCTGTCTATGAATATTTTTTCATGACCTATGTAGATCTCTTGTAATATACATTACCTACTGTGGAATAATATGGTATTTTTCCTTAATTGAATATTACAATTTGATATAAGTACTTACTATATTTGTTTTTCATTTATAATCAATAAAAATAAATCACAACAAACTATAATTTGTAAAAGTATAATATGGAATCTATTGTAGATTTTCACCTCATTTTCACCAATTATCTCTACTATGTCTTCATCTCCCAGACACTTTCTTCATTCATTACACTAAAATGAATATAAAATGTTACATATCAATATACCTAGTTTACTAATAAAGCAAGGCTTCATGATTAAAGTGAAGTAGGTAATAAGATGTTTTCTTGGGAACATACCAGGTCTCTTGGCTCAGATTACTGGATTTCTGATTTAAACCTTTTCTCTGCTCTCAGTTTTTGATCCACATCAGTCTTGTGTTTTGAATGGGCTAGAGATTGATGATCCATATTATACTGCCCAAGCTGGATGATTTTCATCTTTCAGGCACTAGGTTCTCCTACAAGGTAAATAAATTAAGTATGTGTGTATTGAAAACATGATGTTTCCAAGCCATGTAGGGCCATCAAAGGTAATGAGTATTGGCTTCTTTCATCAAAAAGAAAAATGATATATGTTTTCAATAGCATGAAATACTAAATTCATCAGTACTAGAGTAGGTAGATACATATGAATAATATTAAAATCCTTTTTCTCAAGTACCTGTTATGAAAATAGTGTCTGCTACATATCCTCTGGTTTATTATGATTGTTTCTGATGTTGATTCTTTCTCTGATGGCTGCTATCCACATTTCCCTTGTCTTCCTTGATAGATCTTTCATCTGTGGGTAATGCACAGTTTTTCACAGTATCACAGTAGGAAAGGGAATAAACATCAAATGGTCGGTCCCACCACAATACATGTTACTGGCATTTTCTCTTCAAATTCATACTGAGTTTTCATTATTCATAATTAATCTTGACAAAACTCAATCTGACTCAATAAAATAATACTCTAAAAGGTTTCCAAAACCCACAAAGTCCTCAAGTAAACAAACATGTCTTTGATTTCTTTTTGTTTACCAACCAGAGACAGACGAGACTAACGTTAGGTTAGGTTAGAATAATTCTTCTTCTCTATTGATATTTCGACGATTGCGCTGTTGCCAGACTCACAAAAAAAGTTTGGGTTTGAATAAAATTATGATCATTATAACGGATATAAGGATATTATTACTGACACTGAATCATCATCTTGCAAGATATATAAGTAATCATTAAGTGATTATCAGGAACCAGGTGGCCACATTGTCTTTTGCGAACGTAAATACTCTGTCATTGGTGATATTGAATCTCATATAGGTAATTACTGGCTATAAATTTGGCAACGATGACTATTCTCCGTGCCAGCAGGTTGATGACGTCACGAAACCTGGCGTTTTTCGAAGGTTCTGATTTTCAATTAATGAAAAAACGTATTTTGGATGATTTTAAATAACAACTGATAGCATCAAATACTATTCACACACGGACTGATCAATATAAAATAGGTATGTGGCGTGAATTCGATTAGAGTGTACAACCCCATTGATAGTTTTCAAAACCACCCCTTGGGAGAATCTGGCTTTTTGTTCTCGTTGCTTAAAGTTATTCAGGAATAAGCCGTTGAAAGTGAAGGTGACACCTAAGTATTCGTACGTGTTTGACAGATCTATTGCAGTATTTTTATATATGAATTGGGGTTGATAGCCAATATTTGGGCTCCTACGAAATATGACTATTTTTGTTTTTGATGAATTGACCTCAAGTTTCAGATTATCACAATATGACTCAAGAATTTTCAAGTTTCTTTTTAGTTCTATCTGGGATTCTGCAAAAAGTACCAAGTCATCAGCATATAGTAGCATGTTTATATTTTCGCCATCATCTAGAGTTACTCCTTTGGCACCATGTTCTCTAAAGTATTGGCTAATATCAGAGATGAATAATGAGAAAATTAACGGACTAAGAGTATCTCCTTGTAGAACCCCTTTGGTGATCTTGATTTTTTCCAACATTTTACCATCTTGTTCAATAGACAGAGTCGCTGAGCTATACAATGATTTCAGAATTCTAACAATCTTTGCGCTTATACCATTAGCAAATAATTTTCCCCACAGCACGCTGTATTCCAGCGTGTCGAATGCTTTTCTAAAATCTACAAAAAGCGCGAACAGTTTCCTGTTTGGGAGACGTAAGTAGTTATTTATTATCGTTGACAAAACAAAAATGTTGTCATCACAGCTTCTGGATTTGCGGAATCCTGCCTGACACTCTGGTAATAGTTCGAGGTTTTCAACAAAGTTTGTGAGTCTATTGTTAATGAGTTGTGTGAGCAATTTTGTTTTGTGATTCATTAAAGCTATATTACGGTAGTTATTTGGGTCATCTTTTGGTCCTTTTTTATGAAAATGAATCATTTTTATGTTAGTCCAAGAGGGTGGTATCTCTTCCTCTGAGAAAATTTTATTGAAAAGATGTTTTAAGCGCATTATCCAGTCCAGGGGTAGATTTTTGTAAAATTCATTACTGATGTTATCTTCCCCTGGGGCTTTGTTATTTTTTGCTATGTTTAGAGTCAGAAAAATTTCCGCGTTGGAAAATGCCGTATCTAGGTAAGGGTGCAGAGCGTCTAGGTATTGAGTTGTAATGTCTGGGGTAGGTCTATAAAAATTTTTATAATAATTCATCATAGTGTTCGGGTCGATACCGCCTCTAATATTTTTACTCTTATTGAGGTTAATGTATTTCCAGAATTCGTTAGGGTTATTTATAGATTCCAACTTTAATCTTATACCTTTCTCATATTGATATTTTTTACTTCTCAACATTTGTTTATATTCTTTTTTAGTTATTCTGTATTTCAAGACAGTGGCTTTTTCAAAATTTGTTCTACTTAAATTTTTCTTAGCTTTATTCAAAAGTTTTTTGGCTTCCCTACAGGATTGATCGAACCAAGGTTTAGATTTCAATCAAAATCTAAACCTGTGGTTGTATTTATATTGAATAAACTACAATTCGAACATCCTTGAAAATTGAATAAACCTGCTGTTAATGCAGGTAGAATATTCTCACCACACGGAATATTTATTTGTTGCATTGCATTAATATGGCACGGCATTGGTGGTGACTTCACATATTTATTCTAGTTAAGTGTTTCGGCTGCAGAAAAAATAGCATGTTTCATTCGGATCAAAAGTGACTTTGTTTGACTCGCAAATTTTGCTTTCGTTCGGCTTCGCTACTAAACGCTCCGCCTTGCAAATGCAAAATTCGCTTGTCAAACAAAGTGTCACTTTTGATCCTAATAAAACAATCTACTATTGTTGACGATTGTTTCATTTAATCCTACTTTATGTGATCACTTTTATACAGGGTGTTAACAAATAAGTGTCACAACGGAAAACTGTAGATTCCAGATTTTTCTCCGGGCTTCCGTTTCAACAATTTGAAAACCAGCATCAAGACCAGCATACTCAAGAACCTGACATTTGATTGAATATAATATTAGAGAGCTCTGAGGTGTTTATTTCCAGTGGATTTTCAGACGATTTTTAGAGATACCATCAGGATTTTGTATGTTCTTATTCATACAGAGCCATTTTTCTCGGAAACTGTTCACTTTAGAGCATTGAGACAGGAGGACATTTTTTGTGTGAAAGATATTGGCGCTTCAGAATCTACTCTGAAAATAACAATTTCTTCAGTGGCATAAATGTTTGGGGGGTTAAACCCTTACGAGGCGTTGAAGTCTCCTCCACTGACATGTCCAAGGAAATTGATCGAGAGCCCTAAAAGTAGTCATTATTGATGATGAAGTGTGTACGAAGGCTTAACTCCGTAGCTCAGACGGTTCCTGAGATAGTAGCAAAAAACAGATTTTTTTTTGTATTTTTTTGAAACCCTGTATCTTGATAACGGAAGCCCGGAGAAAAATTTTGAAAGGGAAAAAATTTTTCTTTTGTCATGAGCAATCTACAGTTTTACGTTGTGACACATACTTGTTAACACCCTGTATATTGTACTATTCCTTGAAATAAAATGTATTATTATTATTTTTATTATTAAACATATAAATAAACATTCACACGTGAAATCTCTCGGATTTCTCGTGTAATCACATACCTCCTCGGGCCTGTCGTCAGCCAGCTGCTCGCTCAAGTACCGCGTCAGCAGCGCCTCCAGCACCGCCCTGGCCCACTCGTTAAGCGCCGGCCGCTCCTCCCCCTCCTTCCCCCCCTTCCCGTACCCGCCCAGTGCTGCGCACGCCCGCACCGCCTCCTTGGCCAGCCGGTTGCTGCCCTCCTGCCGGTTGGCCGCTTCGCTGCGCTCGACGCCGCCCTCGTCCAGCGTGAAGTCGTAGCAGAAGGCAAAGAGGAGCAAGTGCCAGAGGGCGCCCGCCTGCAGGAGGCCGAGCTGCAGGGCGGGGTGCAAAGAGAGGGCGGTCGCGCATTGGGTGGCCACCGAGCACAGCTTGGTGAGGTGCTGAAAGAAAAAAATAGAATAAACCAGTGGTATATTTCCACAAGAATTATTATAACATGCTTCATTAAGACCAATTTACAAAAGTGGAGATACTCAAGATCCAGAAAATTATAGACCTATTGCTGTTTTGGCTAATAGTTTGGCTTATATGTGGCTTATAATTAGTCAGATTTTTGCATTAAAACGACTCTGCTTTTGACTGACTTTTACTCTATTTTCAATAATATTGACAACTCACTGTCCCAAATTAAACAACTATACAGGGTGATAACTATATACAGAATATACAGAGTATAACTAAATATTCTCCAACATTTCTCCCCTGCCTATGATTCTTGAATCATTCTATATCTTCCTCATTTCTGTATGTCTTCAATCTACATAATTTTGCAACAGGTCTCTAGTAAATTACATTGCTGATTTTAACATCAACAACTCTCGTTCTTCCGTCTCTACAGTTTCGTCGTACCATTTTGTCCTCTTTGTTAAGTCTGGCAAATACTCCTAAACTCATCAATACTCCATAATGGAATAATTTTACATAACTCCTATCCTAGGTTGAAAGTTGAAAAATATAGAAGCAGAAAAATTTAATTCCATATCTACTAATCATTCACAATTTGATTAGTTGTAATGGATTATAATATTTTCATTTCATATTTTATTATATTTTTTTTATGAAAAACAATAATTGTGCGATTATTATTGTTTCGATTGTTATATGTATGTTTGTTGTATATATCCTATTATAAAGAATAATGTTTCTTGGGGTAATAAAGACAATCAATCAATCAATCAATTCATAGAAGAAATACACCCACGTACCTACCCCACAACCAACGTACCAGAATTATTATTCAATATGTATCATCAATCCAATTTATCCAATCCTATGATCCAAAAATTGATAAAATATACACTTTGATGTTTATTGTTGCTGATTATTTTGTCATTTTGATTGTATGTGATTGTCACACGGTTGTCATCACATCAATGTCATTGTTCATTGTTTGCCGTTTTATTTCTCCCTTTATAATTAATACACCAGAAAAACAAAAAAACGCGACTATTGGTTGAATCAATATTTCATGATCATACCTTGAAATATAGAATCCTGCAAAGATCCTTGATCAATTGATCCAAATCGACCATTCTTTCTCGACAGCCAGGGAACTGGGCAGCCACTGTGAAGCACCTGGTAATGTGTATGCAAACTTGGACTTGCACGTCTTCTGGCTTCGAAGAATTGTTAAGCACGTTGACACATCGCGTGTAGGCCTCGAGTAACGCCTTAAAAACGTTTCATATTAGTCTTGAAAAGAACATTAGCTGACAGTTTTTATCCGATTTTGAAGGAAACAATTTTAATGGTGTTTTGAAATAAATCATCTAGTTCTTGAACTAGGATAAAACGCAATACAAATAAAAAACCGTTTTTTGAAAAGTTCAACTTGTCTTACTTCGAGGCCGTTTTCTCTCCTAAGTTCTTCTGCATTCAATGCGGAACATTGCACCGTGTGATAGGCCAGTTCACAAGCAGCCGTTAACAAGGGGGCATTTTTCGAGAAAAGTTGCTCGTCAGCAGTTTCGATTTGGATGGTTTTGATAAGTTGAGGGTATCCGGCATATTTGTATGGCTGCAGTTCTGAAAAATAGATTATTTGATAAACTAAAACTTTTTCCAAGTAACCTCTCGAAGATACTACAATTTAACTTGAGGAGTTATTAGATAAGAACTAGAGCCACTAGATGGTAATTTGTCCTTTTCTATTTTTTATAATACAATGGTTTGAGGGAATAAAAGAATAAGACATACATCCTGCTCTTTGTCTCTTCGATTTCTCTAGTAGCGCCTGATTGTCAGATACGATTTAGGACTTCCATTAGCGCCCAAAGAGCTAAATCACAGTATATGATATAGAAAAATGTAAATATTCCCAAAACGATAACCTCCAGCAAAATAAAGGTCCTTATAATAATTGATACATAAATAACTATTCTCTTTCCACTGTTAAATTTTGAATTTGGTCGATACCAAAAACACCAATCAATAATATATCACGTTGTAGTTTACTTGCTTTTCTTAGTTTCGTTTTAAAATTTTCAATTTCATTATGTAATTTTCAATTCCTCTTTCTCCATGATTATTTTGTTTGGTATTTTGTGTGATGATGATAATGGAACTTTGTTCTTGGAATCGTCTACTTTGTAAATTGATGGAACAGCAGATTCTCTCAAATAGATTTTGAAATCTTCTGTTTGAAAATGGGCCTATAATATAGTTTCTTTCTAATCAGATGCTGTTATAAGAAGTGAATTTTAATAAGAACCTCACAAGTTTTGCTCGTCTTCAAATTTTTTCCACCCAGGCCGTTTCATATCTTCATTCCATAAGCCAATGATGTCAATTTTTTTCAGCATTGGCACAATTCATTACACAGCGAGTAATTTCCATAACTGCTTTTTTCGTATGATTATGAAATTTTATTTCAATTCTTACGTTCATAAAATGTATTGTCAAATTCAAATAATTGTGAATAAAAAAGCACGGGACGACTATGGTGCTCTTGTCACAAAGCAAAGTGTGTAACTTAATGAATCTAAACATTCAAAAACCCTAACCGTTGTCATTTCTGTGTCCGAACTCTTATCAAACTAATACCATCCAGTGACTCCAATAAGAACCATTTTAATCCAAGTACTAAACAAGAGATTTCAGACCTTCTGTCAATATGACATAAGCAACATTGGGTTCAATTTGATTCCAAAATTCACTCCGCTTCCCAAGGTTTGATTATGGAAAGTCTATTGAAACAATTTTTGTATCAATTTTGATATGTGGATGGCCTAATAGATCGATGGGCAAGTTAATGTTGGGTCAATTCATTGTGCAAGTATTCCACTAGAAGAAGCTACTGTATTTGCAAAAGGATCAATCATGATATTCGATAAAAAATTGCTGTACTCACTTTCTGCATATCTTTGGAACAAAATACTTTGAGTCTGTAAAACTAATACTATATTATGTGGATCGGGACCATCAGTAGCCCAACTGCTTCGACTGCACAAAAACTCGTAAGCTTGGTTTACCTTCTCAAACGTTTCCTATTGAAAAAAATAAATTCATCAGCTTCGATTATATCAATGGTATTTCTTATACCTACCCTTCCATCGGGATTCTTATCTGGATGAAACTGCTGTGCCAGTTTGTAATAAGCTTTCCTGACAGCAGCTTCATCGTGGTTGCTATCGTCTAAACCTAAATTTTTATAAGCGTCGGTCACTGTCATCAGAGGGGGTTTCTTTTCCACCTCTGATTTCCATGCTTCCAAAACATCTTTCAACAACTGAATCTACAAAAAATGACAGTTTGTATGTATGTACTATCTGAAAAAAACTCAATAGAAGTTTCCAACCATGCAATAGAAGTTCGTGAAGTAGTCTTTGGTAACAAACGCGATCAAATATTTTGTATAAGTCCAACGCAACATGTGTTATTCTACATGAATTAGGTACGAGTCTTCTTGCATTATATTTTTCATTTCAAAATGGCGCAGTCGGTAGGATCGTCAGACAATATTCTGTACACTACCATCACATGGATCTATCTGTCTGAGAGAAAACTCGATAGAAGAAAACCTAACTGAAATTTGAAGCATTATGATGGGGGTTTGTGAATGAGTCCTTGGTGCCAAACGCGACCAAATAAATTCGACATGTCCAACGCCACACGGTATTGTTCTACATGATTGAAATTATCTTGCTGTCCCTACATTTTTCATCTCAAAGTGGCGAAGTCGGTAGGGTCGCCAAAGACTGAACTATTTATATTTCAATATTTTGTGGCAAAATCTGTCATACGTGTTATTATGGTCAATGAAATGATAACAAAAACTAATTTCAATAACTGAGTTCATGATACCCCACTGAACTATAACCCTACAAAGGGTTATGGGTAGTGTGGTGTCGGGTTATAGTTCAGTGTGATACCCTGGTATGTAAAAATTCATCGCTTACTGGGTCTGGTATAGGCCAATCAGGAAACTTGGTGGTATCACAGAGATGTCGCAAGTAGAATATATTACAAAACAGTTCATGCTCCAATTGAGGATACCTGACTGCAGGGATAGGTATGTAGTGATACCTAACCATAGTGTGACTGTGCAGTCTAGGAGTAAAATCTGCTATATGCGCTGCTACTTTCTCTATCAACATACGCCTAAAAAAATATCAAGAAACAGTCATAACTGGTAATCAATATTGATGGTTAGGGGACCTCATTTCTAGGTTCCAAATTGCTTCGGGTGAATCGAACTCTCCCAAATAAATCTGAGCAAAGCACTGAGCTTCATAGTTTTCCAAATAGTGGATCATAGCTTCCGGTAGCAGCCTACCCAGAATGCTTTTTTGCAATATCGGAGAAGATTCCTAAAAAACTAAATCGAAATTTTCTTTTTGACAAGTTTAGTTCACTTGCCTCATCAGACTTGAAAGCTTGTTTCATGTGCGTCAATTTCAAGAAGCGCACTACGGGCAACACATTACTTCCGGTGTACATCATGATGAAGTAAAACACGCCGGTGGTGTAGAGTTTCGACATTTCCGGGTTGTCCTTCATTATTTCGCACAATAAAGTCGCCACTTTTTCCACCAAAGTGGGGTCGAAGGTGAGGAGTAGTTGCACCACATTCGCCAAAACTGCTTGTTCGGACAGCAGCCGCTTGACTTTGGGCAGCGGTCTGATGATGGCGTCGTCTGTGTCTCGACTTGGGTAGTATTCACACATCCTAAGCGAAAAATAACATTCAAGATCGCAGCGCCAAAGTTGCCGGTTGTGGAACCATATAAAAGTACATTGTTTTGAAATGGTTCATTTGCTTGTGTGTATTATTTCTATTTTTTTGGTAGTGATTTAACAAAGAAAACTCCACTTGCGACTCAAACTCAAACTGAAGGAAATTCTTATAGCAAAAGCGTATTATACAATAGAAGAGGATTTCTCTGACAATTGGCAACTATGGATTGATTGAATTCTAATACATCTACATCATTTATGTGTATGTGTTATTTTTATGTCTGTGATGTCCTACACACACTTTTGTAATATTTCTGTACTTCATTTGTACTATCATTATTTCATATTCTTTTGTTATTTTTTGTGTACCTATATATTATGTATTGAGAAGTACTACGCCAATTTTTAGGCTTTGATTTCAGAGAACAAATAAAGATTATCCATCTATCTATCTAGAAATAATCTCATCGTCATCGCTTGACATTTATTAACTAAAATTGAGAAATATCAACAGAAAATAACCATTTAAAAAATATATGACTTGCCTTCTTTTGGTTTTGATTGAAAACTTGATTTGTTGATGAAAAGCGAAGTACCTACCTACTGACCTCAACTGAAATTGACACATCGCCCAAGCAACAAAACAAAGTCAACTATCAACATACCTATGACATTGTTTTGTGTACAATATTCATCACTTACAATAGCAGGCGTAGGAAATTTAATTAAACACGTTTGTGCCTTTAAATGTCAGCTTGTCATGTCAATTGTTTGTTTATTCATTATTTGAATCATTTTCTTCCAAATCAACATGTGATGATTTGAATTCAGATGAAAAACTCAATTTTTTTTTAATGTTCAACCTCATTTGGGCAATATTTTTCAGCCATTTCAAACAAAAATTTCGATTCCTAACTTGCCTGGATGTTCTACCCAATGACAAGTTCTTATTTTGTTAATTTTTGGTTAATTTAATGTGAGTTCTATAAGTTTTGTTTCTCGTGACGATTTCAATTTCCACATTATTATGTATTTTAGGTATTGCACAGTCTGATGATGGCCGTTGTGCCGAAACCGGTTACTGTTTTATAATTTTCATTTCTACATAGTGTGGTCAACCAACTTAGGAATTATTGTTTTTTTTTGAAAACTCATCATAGCTCCCCGAATATTACTAGATCTAGGTAGTATGTCATAGTCTGCTCCATTGATAAGTCTAAATTGCTGTATTTTAAAAAAGTCACATTTATTCATCACTTAGTGTGCACGAAAGGGAATCCCTATAATGTTCGGACAACATCGTGTTATTGTAAATATATCTGGTATACATAGTATACTTGAGTGTTTTTACTATAATAATAAAATCTATTGTACCTTGACTTGCTACAAACATGTAATTCATGTAAAGTGGTTAAATAAAACTATCTATCTATCTATCTATAGAGTTCATTAAGTGGGTGGATGAAACTTCAAAAAATTTTGTAAGTAATGCTTGTAAAATTAAGATAGAGATAACGTTAGGAACCCAGTTAAACAGAAAAATTATAGATACGTTGAGACATAGACATAAGAATTGTTTCTATTTAAAAGCTGATAAGAGTAATATTTTTATTACACAAGGGTTGAAACCTAATTGAAAATGGTCCTTATAAAAGTGTTCATTGCCAAAATTAATAGTTTCGAACCCTAGTATGCCTAAGATGAATGTACTTCCTGAAATACATAAGCTTCATAAGTTGGTGAGACCCATAGTCAAATATGAGTTTCCTTAGAGATTCAACCAGAATTAAAAATAGTATTCCAAAACATTTATTGTTAATATTCTCAGTTTTAAAAATAGTTTTTATCATTATTTTGTCCTTACCGTATCAGAATGCTGAGTATATGGGAGGCTAGGTCGCTTTCATTCAAACATGGGGTTCCTTTAGCTAATAGACACCATTTCAATTGAGGTAATTGTGCCAATGGCCTCCAGCCTGACACAGCCATGGCCCAGCATTTGGTTTTGTGTGTAATTTGGCCTTTTTCATATAATTCTTTCAGCTAAAAAAAAAATAACGTCCATAAGTTCGTATCAGTCCTAACACAAATAAGGTAAACCCTATAGTTGACTGGTATTAGAACAAAAAGTATGCCTTGATACTCAATAATTTAATAAGAAATTTTTAGTAGGTTTTTAGAAGGTATTACAAATCCCATGATTTTGAAATAGCTCCAGAAGGATTGGTTGAATTTCAAATTCATATTTTTCCGGCCAATAAGTGATTCCTTTAGATAGATCTAGATGTCTGTGACCAAGTGGGCACTTTCGTGCACGAAAAATAATTGTATATTTTTCAAACTGTTCATGGTTTTTTAGATACAGTAATTGAGAACATATCCTTATGAAGGTCTTGATTTTTTCCCATCTAACTTTGTTTTTGAGAAAAGGGATAAGAAGAACTAGTAACAGACATTTTTTCTCGTAACAAAACGAATGTCAAAATAAGCCGCTTTGAAGCAACTTACCTCAGTCACGAAATTGGGTGGAAACATTTTTCCAAACATATTTTTTTTGAATCTCCATCAGATACAAGGTGCTTTCTTAGGGAATCATCAATGGTTCATAGTATGAAGTATCAGATATTAAGTACGTTTTTTTAAGAGAAAAACTCAAAAATCCCAAGAACCTCACTAGTACAAGATTATATCAGGACTAAATACACTCCCCGACAATAAATTCCGGAAAGTGAAATTCTTAGCAATATTGTTCGCCCTGTAACTTTCGTAATCCTCTTCCGATTTCGATGAAATTTCTACCAAAGCGTAGATTTATGTTTCGGAATATTAGCCTGAAATTGACTTCCGAAAAAAAAACTATTTCTTGTCCTGATCATTTTACAAGGAGAAACGAAAACCTTCTCAATACATCTGTTCTTCTATTCACGTCAATATCTTCTTTTCATGAGAAGATACAAGGATTTCAAAACAATATGGCATTTTCTAATATTTATCAACAGTAAAAACACAGCTTTTTTTATCCGATACATTTCTCTTGGTAACGAAAAACATTTGCCGATCAGTAATTTTAGAGAAAAACTGACATGAAAAAATTGCGAGACCGTAGGCGAATTCAGAATTGTCACAATTCATTACACAGCAGAACATTTTCATTTATGCTTTCTTCTCAATAGTTGATGAAATTATATTTCAATTCTGACTTTCATAACATTTATTGTCAATTTCAAACAACTTTGAATGAAAAAGCGCGGAACGGCTATGGTGCTCTTGTCACAAAGCAAGATGTGTAACTTAATGAATCTAAACATTCAAAAACACTAACAGTTGTCATTTATCAATCAATCAATCAATCAATCAACTTTATTATTCCCACGAAACAACATTTGTTTATAGTAGGGAACATGGTGAATACATAAATATATTTGACAAAAATAAAATAAAGAAGACAGTACAATAAGACTTAGACTCAAAAAGAATCATTTTTTTTCAAGTTCAACTGAAAATGATTCTCAATTGACTCAGCTGTTAGGTACCCAATAGAAAACTATAGTAGTTGTACAAGAAAACTATAAAAATGAGATAAGATGTCAATATTACAGGAGTAGATGTTTCTTGAATTCTCTTTCAAATATTTCAATCCTATTAATCAGCTTCAAGTTATTTGGTATTGAATTGTATTGTATCGTTCCATTGTGATAGATGGATTTTTTACAAATATCTGATTTAATTTTCTTGACAGAAAAATGATCTGCTTGTCTAGTTGTATGGTTGTGGTGATTACTATCAATTTGGAAAACCAAATTTGAATGCTTTTGACAATGTTTAACTGAATGAATGAACGACATTAATTTGAATTTACATAGTAAATCTATATCTAATCATTCTCTTCTTCTGTAAAGGTTCATAGTAGGTTCCGAATGATTTAGTCTGTATAAACATTTGATAATTTTATTCTGAAGAGTTTTGAGGGGCTTTATAATTGATAGTTTTGTTGAATGCCATACAGAAATCAAATATTCCAGTTTAGAATAGATCAAAGAGAAGTATATAGATTTGAGATATTTCATAGGAACTTGATTCCGTACCCTAAAAAAAATACCTATTATTGGAGATATTTTTTTCCTAAGTATTTCAATGTTTTGACCATGACAAATGTTCATCTATGTACAGCCCAAGAAACTTGATATTATTTGAATATTTGATGACTTCATTATTACATGCAATTGGAAATTTGTACTCATTATATCTTGATTTTTTTGAAATGATCATAAATGCTGATTTACTATAATTTATACTCAATTTATAACATGATAACCAAGATAATTATATTTTCAAATCACTTGAAATTTCATCCCTAATTTGTTGTGCTGAACCTGCTGAATAGATTAAGGTTGTGTCATCGGCAAACATATAAATTTTACCTTTCAACTTCAAATTTGCAATAGAGTTGATATAAATAAGAAATAGAATAGGGCCCAATACTGATCCTTGCGGTACATCGCATACTATTTCATCGCTCTTACTGAATGATTCTCTTAAATATACGAATTGTTTCCTATCACTCAAATAATTTAGAAACCAGTCGTAGACAGGACCTCTCAGACCAATTTAATACAATTCATTCAAGAGAATTTCATGATTTACAGTATCAAATGCCTCTCTTAAGTCAATTGATAGGAGTCCACATATCTTGTGTGTATCTAGTTGCAATTGGAAATCTGTTACATGAGTTCATGATACCAGTATATCACCTGACGAAGCTACTGTGTTAGCGAAACATGTCGTGTGTTTGAGAATTTTGTGGAAATCTTATCGTTTATGAAGTTTTTACATTTAAATAATCAATGGTGAAATACCTGACTGAACGTTATTGGACCTACTCGTCCCTTATCAGTATTATAATACCACTCCTTCTCTTCGGCAATTTTCATGCCAGGACCGGCCTCTATGACGTTCGTTTGGGTCGGAATCCTGGCCCTGGAAGTGTGCAGATGAGCCAGAGTCATCAGATCCACCAGAATCTGAACACCTCCCATATCGAGAATGTCTCGTATGTTTCGAGGATGCAAAATCAATTTTTCTATGAACATCACCAGTCTGTCACGTTCCTGTTTATCTATGCACTGTAACAACAGAGTTGGAGTATTTCGAGAAGAGGTTAGGTTAGGTGGGGCTTACTCTTTCCAACATTCCTATGATGTACTTAGTATCACTGAAAGGGCCGATGTCTTCGTAGTATCTTCCGTAAACTATCGACATGGCTTGAAGACACATGCATTTCATTTCTACTTTATTTGTTAACAAAAATCTATGGTATAAGTCATTGAAAAATTCGTACCTAGAACAAAATTGAATATTGATAGGGCCTTCAAGTTACAATAATAAAATAAAGAATGTGACAAACTCGTTATTTGAACAATGAACCATACTAGTGCACGTCTCTTACTATAATGCCTAACCGAAATTCTATATAAGCTATGACCAACTGATTACTCAATCAACATGAACATGAATATCCTAAAATTAGTCAGAGCTTGTATGATGAATATATCGAGTATACATAAGGTCTATTTATCAACCAAATTACTACGGAAACAATATGGATAAAACAGTTATTGAATAACTCAATAGAGGGTTGAGTTAGTTTTAGAAAATGCTGAAGTGACTCATCCTCTTTAATTTTCTTTCATATGGTGTCGAAAAACTAGTAGGTGTCACTTGAGATCAATCAGGAATTTCTTTACATGCGATTTGAATGTTTTTATCGGTAAATCTCTAACCTCAGTAGGAAGGTGATTGAAAAACTAAACAGCCCAGTAATTTGTGTCATTTTGGCATTTCGTGAGTCTATGATAGGGAATTAAAAGATCAGCTCCATTTCTAGTTGAGTAATGATGAATATCACAATTTCTAGTATATAAAGTTAAATTTGCCCTAATATGCAGTAAGTTTTGTAAAATATATATACAGGGAAGTGTCAAGATTTCCATTGAACTGAAAACATGGCGACATTCATCTCTATATCGAAGCCCAGCTACTATTCTTATAGCTTTTCGTTGTGAGACAAATAATCTATTGATGTCTGCATGACCCCAGATAATGTTAGCATAGCTAAGGTGTACATGAAAAGTAGCGTGATAGGCAGTCTTGAGTGAGGTAAAAGATACAATATTTGCTAAATTTCGAAGAACAAAAATCGAGCTATTAAGTTTCTTGGACATTATTTCTATATGATTTTGCCAGCTCAGTCTTGAATCTAAATGAATACCTAGAAACTTGACACTTTCCAGGTACTCATTTTCATTATTCCTACACAGAGTTAATAACAATTTGTTTGTTTTGTTTTCATTTAAAAAAAGGTCATTTGCAGCGAACCAAGATTTGGCATTTTGTAGCGCCTCATCACTCCTGGCTTCCACATCTGCAGGAAGTTTACCACGGAATGAAATAGTTGTATCATCAGCAAACAGAACGAATTTTTCTAGATTCGCAGAACTTGGCAAGTTGTTAATGTAAATCAAGAACAACAGTGGTCCCAGAATAGATCCTTGTGGGACCCCGACACTTAACTCCCGCTCTGCTGAGATTTTATCTCCAAGTTTGACTATTTGCTTCCTGTCTGACATATATGATTTTATTAAAGTTAAACTATTATGCACTGGACTACTCCTTCGGCTAGCTCAAGGAATCACAGGTCGTGGGTTATTCTTGTGGGTAAATACAGCTCAATCAGGCAACAAATACTATTTATTATGGATCGACGATAACACATTAACAATAACTGGTTACAAGATATAATTGACCGGGTTACATGCAGCCGGTATCAATATAAAAATGACGAAGGACCGAGCACCCTCTGTCCTCTATCGCCGACCTAGGCTAACTACCCTTGTACAGAACCGAAACTCGTGAACCACACAATTAGTACATGCGCATTCCGCACCACACGAAATTATGGCGGATTATTTGAAATAGACCATCACAATTATCATCGAAATTGTAACATTTTAGCTTTTGTAGGAGCTTGGAGTGAGAGACACAATCGAATGCTTTCGATAGATCACAGAAAATTGAACAAACCGACTCTTTACTTTCAAAACCTTCATTTATAAAACCAACTAGATCCATCATAGCTGTAATTGTGCTATGGTTTTGTCTAAACCCATACTGGCAGTTTGTGAATCTTATATTTTTCAAAAAATCTTGTGATTTGTAGTGCTATGGCCTTCTCAAATATTTTAGAAAATACAGGAAGTATAGATATGGGCCTATGATTTGTGACATCATTTATATCCCCTTTATTTTTGAAAATTGGAATCACTAATGCTTCTTTAAGGATTTCTGGAAAAACACTTGCATTGATACATTGATTTATAATGTCAGTAAGAGGATATAGTAATATTTCTCTGATACTTTTTATTATTTTAGTACTAAGGTCATTGATATCCCTGGTGGTTTTATTTTTGAGACTAGATATAATGTCCCTCATTTGAATATAAGTTACTTCATCAAAGCTGAATATATTACTTGGTTTAATTATGTTTGCAGTCACAAGCTGCAAGTCACTTTCATCTTTAGGAATGTTTCTTAGTAATTCGGAGGAGACATTTACAAAGAAGTTGTTCATTTGTTCAGGAGAAAGGTCCGGTTGCTTCGAATTTTCACTGGTTTTAGTTTTTCTACACCCATTTATAATTTGCCAAATTGTTTTCACTTGACAACTAGAGTTACTAATGAGTCTGTCATTGGTACAAAATGGGAACATTGATGGGTCATCAGGAGTTTGCCTAGACTTCCAGCTAACTGTTGCACAAATTCGGTGCCCTAATTTTGAATAGTTTGCGAGATGTCTTCGTATACTACTACGGCGGTAATTATTTTCAGATAATTCGAGATATCTAGAAAACTGTGGAAGAAAAGTTGACATATATTTGGCTGTACACCCTAATAGCTAGAGGACTAATAATTCAGGTATATTGGAAATGATCGATTATAACAGCATACCAATTTTATAGAGCAGCGTCAACTGACGTCACAACAAAGCGCATTCGTCGTTTTCATCAGCTGATCGGAGGACAAACAAAGCTAGCTGTGTGTGAATTTTGATTTTATTCTTTCTTACCCAATTGGTGATTTTGTTGAACTTGTAGATATTATAGGAGAAAAATGTGTATACGTTGTTGCAAACTGAGTATTTATTGAGGTATATAACGAGGTATATTAGGTTGACAAACAAACTGATTTAAACGTTTCATTGAAGTCATTCACTTTTCTCATATTATTTATTATATGTGCAAGAAAGTTACATGTACCCTTACGGAAAATATTTATGCTTGTTCCCCCCATCAGATGTCACTGCTCTATTGGAAGTTGGAAAACTTCTAATGTGTGGCCTACGTAGATCTCGCGTAAGTTCTTGTGCATTTTCTTAATTGCATTCATTGTAAGGATGATTGTTTCATAAATTCGATATTTTTCAATCCATGAGTTTCCCAAAATTATTCTCTCAACATTTTCACGAAAACCATGCGCAATAATTGTTTTCATAATTTTTCCTTGAGGTTAACATATCAGAACGACTTGCTTTAGTGTTTAAGAGCAGTATCAAATAGTAATCGCTGATTTTTGAGATTAACATAATATATCAGAACGACTTGCTTACGATCTACGAATCGGCGAATCATCATCATTAGTGTCTAAGAGCAGTCTCAAATAGTAATCGCCGATCTTGACCTCGTCGGCCAGACAGGAATAGTTGACCTCGAACTCGTGGTGGTTCCAGGCGACCAGCGCCAGGCCGGCCAGCTCTCTGTCGGAGGTGAAGTTCCTCACCTCGGCTTCTAAGGCACTTCGCAGTTCTTCTCTGGTCTAAAAATCGTCGTCAAAACGTCAACATTTGAACTAGCATCCGTAGGTCGCGTGCACGATGACCGACCCTGGAGGTAAAACATTGAAACACAACCATACACGTATTAATAAACAATACGGATCATAACGGGTGCCAGGATGAAGCCAAAAATATGAAACAAATGAATATCCATAAGGATTTGGTGGCATGATACGCATGCGCCATGCGCTATTATAGTAGTCATCAAAGACATGCGTTTCAGTGGACAATGACGTTTACTAGCCTTTCAATCAAAGCAGTATGTGTCTGATCGTATCTCACTTTTCCTTATCGGCTTCATGTTTCGCTATGGAAACAGATAGAGATTATCCGTATTGATTATTAATATGTATATGAACACAACCTCACTTTTCTGTACAACATTGAAACACAACCTCACTTTTTTTATTTGTTTACAAAGAAATCAAACGATTGAAATAGTTTTTTGTGCTATTCATTAATTCAAGCATACCTTCTCATTGTGTTGTTGTACAATGCACAAAAAATGCAGTGAGAGACGAAGGAATATGATTTTTCAGGTAAATAGTAATCTCACAGTTTTCATTATGCAATTTTGTTATTTCTTATTGAAATTCCATCTGCCACTTCTGTAGAAGCTAATACTGATAATAGATTGAAAATGTCACAACACACACGATCATATTTCGTCAGCATGTCAGACCAGTCCTCCCGTTTGATTGCATGAATCCAATCTTCTTGCATTCTTTTAGAAATTTCACGAGTATTTCTATTAGCTCCTATTGCAGAAGGAATTCCGATGAGAAATTACCAAATTTCGAAATGAAAACTATATGTAAGTGACTATAGTAGGTACTCACTTTTAAATCATAATTTACCAACCAGATTCTTTCGTCTCCCGCTGCATTTTTTGTGGATTGTACAACAGCACAATGTGATCGCTTGTGCGAATTAATGAATAGCCGAAAAACACGATTCGTATGACAAAATAGTTGTGAAACACTATTTCAATAATTCGTAAACAAATAATAAAAGTGAGGTTGTGTTTCAATGTTTCACCTCTAGGGTCGGTCATCTGACAGTTCTTGCACGCAACCAATTCATCACTTCTTCTTCTTCTTCTTCCGAAAAACACCGGCAGGTAGTAACAGATTTTTGGACGTCATTTAACCCAGTATGCCTTTTGGTAGGTATCATTATGTATATATTTTTGTGCACATTTTTTTTTATAAACCGAGAAAGAATTGATATTTTCATCACATAGAGAATGCAAATTCTCAAAGTATTTCCTTTTCAACACCTTCACCCAATCAAGGGGTCCTAAGAGAAAATTTCAAGGAAAAATAGATATTCCACCTCTTTTCAGACAGTATTTAAAAAAAATGTATTGGAAAACTCTTGTCAAGTTTGAAAAAATCAAATGAAAATACTCATCTGTAAGTGTAAATGTTAATTTGAACAAAAATTACTTCATCTGAATTGACAAGAAAACAAAATTAAAGAAGCATATTTGTATGAAATGTATGGATGAAAAAAAAATGTGAGGAAATGACTGAAAATAAAATATTATTCTACATAACAATGTTTTCAATTTTGTTTTAATGGCATACCTTGTGATTCCAAATAAGGTTGGGTATGGCAAGATCCTGATTGAATTTCCAATAAAACAGTCCCCAATTCGACTCGACCTTCTTTCTCTCCCTTCTCCTCCTCAAAACGATAGGCCTCTCCTTCATTTTCTCCTCCCTCTTCAACGATATCCCCCTTCTGGCCCCCCAGTGCTGCAGCGCCAAGTTGGTATAATACTCCACCCTCTTTTCCACCATTTTCATCTTCTTTTCCACCGCTATCCAGTTGGCGTTCCTCCGAGATCGATTCTCGTGGTCTTGGGCAATTTTCAGATTGTCCCTGTTGTTCAGCATCTCCTGCTCGATCGCTTCCTTGGGGATCTCTTCTTTGGAATCCAAAAACGCTATCAGACCAGTGGGCTACAAGATGAAGGGAAGGCAAGTTTTGATTTTTCATTTTAGCTCAGTTATCCTCGAGACATTATTCATAATAGGTGAAATTCCTTTTCACTTTTATGAAACTTGAACTCAGAGGACCGAAATTCTTCGTTATAGAAAAAATAATGACATTCATTACAATGTGAAAATGCACGAAAATGAATTTGAATGTTTAATTCCTTCTAGATTTCCCAAAAAACAATTTCCTAAAGAAATCCTCCCGTTAGAACACCACACAAAATCCTATATGTATACAGAGAAGTGCAAAAAAAAAACGGTCAGTGCTGTAACTTCTGAATCATTCGAGATCGGATTCTGAAAATTGATGGGTAGCCTCCACCACTTGTCGCAACTCAGATGGTTCTAGTAGGTTATTTGGCATTATTGAGAACAAACGGCGCTTCCACCACATGTCGCAACTCAGATGGACCTTCACCACGTTTCGCAACTCAGACATCGCTTTTACTTCGATTGCATCAACTCAAGTACTCGCTTAGCTATTTCTCAAGGTGATTTTCAGTATTTCACCACCCAACCACAGTCATCCCGAAATAAAGAGAATTGTTTTTCAAAAGTACAACAAACAATTTATTCAATACGAAAACATAAAAATGTGCTAAAAGGGCCACTTTGGAAGTCAGCAATCAATGAATGATTGTTATGTACTGATATTAATATAATAATTGGTAGTAACGAAACGATTTAACTAATAATGACTATGCCTTATCGATTCGGGTTCTATTTATATTTGAAATCGATACTAGATTCGCAATTTTCCGCAATGGGAATGGCCGTTACCTTTCGATATTGCTTGCCTAGGTATTATCGCGTGGTAAGCGGTTTTTTTGCAAACTATAAAGGAACTGACGTCTATGAACTCCGCTGACCTGATCGAAACTACAAAGTTAATTTATGATAAAAGATCTTGAAATGAATGAGAGTTTGAGTGATGTTAATTCATGGACATTTGTACTTCTTGACAATACCAAATTGCTCAATAATTGACAAAACAATTGTTGTTTTATCACTTCAGTTTTCACCGGAAACGAACACAACTCTTGATTTTCAAATGGGAAAACCTGTATTTCATTCCATAATCGGTTAGGGAGCATCGTAAAGAATTAAAAGATAGTGGGTTTGATAAGGTTATTTCAAACGATTACGAATATATCCGCGTTCTGAGTTTCCATATGCTCAAATCAGTGTGACAGAGATAGAAGTTATTGCTATTGCGAAGTCACAGGAGCATATGGAAATTTCAAAGTTGATATCTTTTTTCTGTGACTTGAAAAAAGTTTGCAATTTCATCTCTGCTGACAGGTTATAAAATGTCACTTCATAAATTACTTCTATCCCGTGGGAAAAATAGTGATTAGTTTTTTCCCGGATATATATTAAATATACAGGGTGACATTGAAATAAGTGCAAATATTTCAAACCATAAGAAAGTTTCACACGTATAGAATCGAATGGCACCAATGAACAAATTCAGGGATGAACATGAAATTTGGGGTGAGACCCCTTTTTCCACCCATTGCTATGTTTGAACGCTCCAAGAAATTGAAGGGTATTCAAATGGTGTTTTTAGAAATACGACAGCATATTTTATCAAAAAATGTATGCAGTCATGTTATGTTACTATTATATTATATTTAACAGTCTCTAGAAGAAACAACATTATATGTATTATGTATATGATTTAAAAATGATTATCTGATTATCTAATTTTTGTTTTTTTTTTTTTTTAGTTGCTCTTTCATAATTTTCCCTGCTATAAACATGTATGTTTCTTGGGAATAATAATAAAGATATATATATTTGAGTTATATGCAGATTTAAATAGGAAGGGGACCAAGCGTTGAGAGAGAAACAATATTTCTTCCCCATCTGTCATTGTCTTCAGTGTTCCAGCCTGAAATAATAAACATATTATGTTGCCAACACTGGAAATGAGAAGAGGAAGACATATTTTCTCTCTTTCAACGCTAGCTGAACTTCTCTATTGAATTCACGCATTTGCCTATTGTTGAATGTGGAAATAGACCGACAGGTAGTGCCAGAATTTCGGACGTGATTTCCCCCAGTATGCCCTTTGGGGGGGAATCATTATGTATATATATTTTGATGGTTTTGGTTCAATATGATATCGAATGAAGAGATTTTGTATTTCGTGTAAAATTTTTTTTATTATAAATCGCAAAGCGCTTTCGGCTAAAAAGCCATCATCAGTGCTATACTCGTTAAGTATTTACAAAAAGGTCCAAAAATTAGTGATCACAGACATCATTATGGTACAAACGGGATTATGAACAGACATACATTTAACAAATATGTTCCCTAATGGGTTATTGTACAATAACCCATTAGGGCTTTTTAGCCGAAAGCGCTTTGCGATTTATAATAAAAAAAATTTACAGGAAATACAAAATCTCTTCATTCTATTGATCAGTTACGTGTATGCAGCTAGTAAAAATCTTCACCTCAATATGATATAACCAACTAATTAAATGAATAAACATCACCTGCCTGTATCTAAATTTTGATAAATGCTGCAGCATTAGCATTTACAAACGTAATAATAAATATAATTCGCCTTCCCAAAATGTCCCGACTATATTAAATCCGAATCGAATTACTATATGGATGATGTTATTTTAAAATCGGTCATATTTATTAGAGACTTAAACCTTGAAAACATGCTTAAAGCTTGATTTTCATGACAACGTTTTGCGTCATGCGTCTTGCGTTGCCTCGTTCTGATTGGCTATTTTGACTGACGCATAATTTCGTAGGAATGAAGTTGAAAATATTCAACTTCTTTGCGTCGAACGCGAGAAAGCGAGAAATGTGGGATAGAGAACTTCTACTCTTGTAGGTTATGTTTTCGTTTTAGATTTTCCCAATCACCCAAAACAGGAAGAGCACAGATTTTGAATCTTTATTAAAATCAGGGAATATTAGTCAACCAAAATACTACAGATTTTTTTTTTAAACGAAAACTAATCTATACTGTTTTTAGTTTTATATGTGAGGAATGCAGGAAGCCCTCAACAGAGGTAGGTAGGTGAAGAAGTAGCCTCAAAAGAAGAGTTATTGATTCAACTTGCGAATAGAATTAATAATTTTCTCCTTCGCCAATTTTGTTCATCCATTTCATGTATGAAAAATGAATATTTTAACACTGCAGGTGTCAAATTATTACTACTTTTGGCAATAATTATTGAAAACCTATAATAAATTTTAAATATTTGACGCATGTATGAAAATTATAACAAATTTCATCGAATTTGCGTCATTTGAAATAGCCAATCAGAACGAGGCAACGCAAGATGCACGACGCAAAACGTTGTCATGAAAACAAAGCTTTAATGCATGAAAAACCCGGGAAAATTCGTGAATGTATCATTCATTACATCAAAATATATACATAAGTATACCAGCCAAAAGACATACTGGCTGAAATCACGTCCGAAAATCTGTCACTACTTGCCGGCCTGAAAATCCAATACCAATTCAGTGGCCTATCAGATGAGATCCATAAAAAACCTAACCATTATTCTCTTGAGCAGTCCCATGGCAACAGGGTTTCCCGTCACCCAGAGACCGATCAGATGTCTCGACAGTTGCCTGTGCGTCAGCAATCTTCCGTCGGTTCCCAGAGTGTACAAGGAAGCCAGAAGATGGCGCGGCAAGGCCCCTTCCGATAGGGCCAAGTTTTGCATCTTTTCCGCCACCTCAGATTCCCCTTCTTCTATGATGGAACGCATCACGAGGCCGGCTCCTTTGACAATGGCCATAGAAGGATGCTAAAAACAATGATTTCTGCTATTTTATGTTTACTGCAAAAAATAATGGACACTGCTTGTCACTGCATGGTATTATACTAATGATGAGAATGAGCAAAAATGTTTACAAAATTTAATGTTAACATTTTCATATCGGTATAAAACTGAACTGAGAAAACCTCACTTTGGGCCTGTAGGAATGGATATAAAAATATGAAGCATATAAAGCCATTAAATATAATAGGATATTGTAAAGAGGAGACCATTCAAAGAATGTTGTAGTTGTAAACCTAAATCCTATGAAGGGAACCGGGTAAATTTTGAAAAAAGAAGTCACTGTACACATGGCAATATATATTCATATAGCTGATAAACATTTTATTCCTTGTTTCACTTCAACATTTATTTTTTCCTAAAATTTAGAGAAAAGTTTCAACGGATCTGGAGATATTTCAATAATACAGTGTGTCCAAGATAAGCAGGGCCAATATAGGTATCTTGTAAACTTCAAGAGATACAGATTTTTGGTTGAATGGGAAAAAAGTTGCAGGCTGAAGAGCCAACAAAATGACTTGAATTTATATGATTTTTTGTTTTACTTATTATCAAAGAACTGAATTTCTGGTTTGATTAATTCTGGCGTTGATATACGACCTTTATATCCCATTATCTGAATTGCCGTATTCATTCTGATCTCGTCCATATGTTACACATTTTGGTTTTGGTGTGTTTTGAGCCTATTTTAGCCATCAGCAAGTAATTTTTGGAATGCAGACCCCATATCTAGAACATCTTGCTTCATTCTGACTCAAGGAATGACCTCTCGAATTTTGACATGTAGTTGGAAAACAAACTGTATAACACTTCATATTTTGACTAAGTATTTGATTTTTTTTATATTTACCTGAAATAATCTAAACAGCATCCTGCCTCTTTCAGAAACAAGTTCAAGCAGTGTATCAAAGTGGTTTCCATCTGTTGTTTCATTGTAGGGGACACAGAGGGCAAACGTCAAAAAATCCAACATAGCAGATACTATTAAAGCTCCAGTTCCTTGGGCCTGAAATTTATTTCGGAACTAGTTGAAAGAATATAATTTTGTAGATAAATTTCATTGGCAAAACTGGTGTCGGGTTTTGAATTCCATTGGAAAACTGGTTCACATAGTTCAAAGCTCAGTGCAACAATTCTCGCACCAGTTCTAATAGGTCGTGCGAAGTCAGTGCAGTTTTAAAAATGGCGGAAACATATGAATATGAACAGTTTGAAAGCCAAATTCTTAGTGGCAATCTAATCATCATCAAATAGTGATGAACAGTTGGAGGTTTCAAGAAAATAAAGGAGATTACTTCCCAGAATTCATAATTTTATTGAGTGTTTCGCACTAATTCAATGATGAAGAGTATTGAAAAAAGTGCTCAAAAGCATTTCCATGAAACATCTACTTAGTTTTTAATTGAAGTTAAAGAATTTCAGGATGCGAACAAGTTATAAAGGAAGACAAATCAACTTATCCGATGTCACCTCCAACGACAATTTTATTATAAAATTAATTCGTATTCCATTAAAAATGCACCAGTTCACTTTTTGGAGAGAACTCACGTAGTGCGGGTGCAAAACTGGTACAAAACCAGTGCACAACCAGGTTTATGAATGAAATTCGCCATACATTTCAAAAACACAAAATCGAAGAGACAAATTCGCAATCCAACATTCCTGTTTTTAATTTTTGGCTACTTTGACAGTTGACAAGTTAACGGGCCAATCAAATTGTGAAGGACGAGAACCACAAAACATAAACACTGGAAACTATAGCCATGAATGATCCAAGGTGCTAATATGACATATATGATGATGGTACCTAAGTAAAAATGATAACAAAAATGTACTTTTGGTTGCATACAAATATGGTCACGTGGTGGTTGATCATTTTTGAAGACGCGGTACAAGGTTTCATTTTGAAAATACAAAACTTACTATGTGTGTTGTCCACATATTGAGGAGACTTTCCAGAAACGGCTTAGTCTGCAGTAAAGATGATTTGTTCAGCTGTTCCTGTCTCAAATCATAATCGTCGTGCATGGGGTGCATGAGAGCACATATCACATCGATAGCGGCTTGAGTTACAGCATAATCATTCCTTTTGAGTGCCGCTATCACTTTTACACCAACAGCTTCTCGAAAACTATGAGTAAAGAAGTTGAAGAATAGTATACAGGTTGACTGTCACAAAAAAACCAAACCATAGAGCCGCTATAAATAATTATCCGATTTTGAAAAACAGAAAAAAAAAAATGGAATAACTATTTGTAGGCTCTGATATTAGTTTTTCAAATTTTAAATGTAACGTCGGTGACTAATATATATTTTTTTCAAATTTATTATTTATTTATTCCACAATATGAATACTCAAACTGAAAATAAATAATCAATTCATACAATAATGAGGATAAATTAAAATAAAGAAAAATGTTGATTAAAAAACATCATTGATTTTTTTTTTCGAATTTTCTATAAGCCAACTTTTAACTTCTTTTTGAATGTTATGATGTTTAGGCATTTCAATATTGAAGGTATTTTATTAAAAATTTCAGATCCAATAAAACTAGGTTCTTCTAAAATTCTAAGCTTATGTTTTTCAAGTCGTACATTGTTGATTTTGTTTCTTGTATCATCAGCATATGAGAAAATATGTCCATCAATATCTGTTTTTAATGTCATTTAAATAAATGAGGAAAAGAATTAGAGCTAGAACAGTTCCTTGACGAACACCACAAATAAGATGTATTTTTCGGCTGAAAGTATCTTGTAATTTTGCAAATTGTTCTCTTTCTGATATGCAACTTTCTAATAATTCCAAATTCTTATGCCACAATTTTGTATTTCTATGAAAATAATGTCATGAGAAACTGTATGGAAAGCCTTTTTTAAACCTAGAAATATTCCTATAGTTTATTTGTTGTCATCAAGCGATATAATTATTGTGTTCGTAATCGAGTATCCTGTTCCTATTTCAGGGCTGAAGCCAAATTGATTGGTAGATATAATGTTTTTGCTTTGTAAGAAATCATATAATCAATATTTTAAACATTTTTCAAGAAGTTTAGCTATCTATATTATTTATTAAAGATATGGGACGATAATTATCATAATTATTTTCAATGGCACTAAATATTTTTTTGGTCCAGGTTTTTTCTGTATAGTGTTGCATAACGAGTTGACTTTTGGACAAAATTAGTTGAAACACAAAAAATAGATGCTCAGTTGATAGGAAATCGATATTTTCATAGAATTTTGGGAAGTCAATGTTTCATTTGTCAGATATCACATGATTCACACATACTAATTGCTATATACAGGGCGATACTTTTCGTCATTTTCGTGTAAGTTCCTTACCCAGGTAATTTGGTGAAAGAGGCATATCCAACTTTGCTTGCCACCAAACGTCTCAATGCTTGGAATTGGGCCTCCAATTCAACCAAACTAATTAGTTTTGGATCCCCTTCTTTGGACACCAAAGATTGCAAAACCCCCGTGATAAGTTTTTCCTTGTTCTCAGAAAACATTCCCTGGAAACAATGCCATCATGAAAAACACCTAAACAAGCTTCTAACTTGAAATTTGTGGTTGAATAATCAGAAAAGAGTATGTAGAGTCCAGCCGCTACTTAGATAGTACAATGGTAGGCAGAGAGGGATAAAATGTTCATCAGGAGTGTAGCAGTTATTTCGAAAGTATCTAAAGTTTACCTCCCTCACAACCCACTATTATATCATCATTAATGTAGCGACAGAACTTTTAGACATGAATTGATCCGATGATAGCCCGCCAGCGGCGTATCAAATAAATGTATATGAAGGGGTTATAAGGTGAGGTTAATGATAAGTTTAGTTGAATTTTATCAGATTTCGCTCTTGTTACGTGTATCAAGAAAGGTGAAATGGCAGTGTATAGTTCCTGAATGTAATTAGAGGGAGAACGGAAATTGTACTGTCAACGTAGAGGAGTAGAGTAATTTTGATGAGCTCAAATTTATTTCTCGCCAAATGAGTTGTCAAACAAAAATTTCCATATTCGCCTCTAAGGCTTAGATATTATATGACTGTATACCCATCTTCGAACGGCCGAAAGTGCCAGAAAACAGAGGAAATCCACGCGAATTATCGCTTTTCCAAAAGGAAATGACACGCTGAATCGAATGAGAACATGATCAGCCCGATATGACAAATATTTTTCGAGATATCGGCGCTCAAAGTCAGCTTCTCCCGTTTATTGCCAATAGGAGCACTCCGGTAGGCTACTACCTCTCCATTTTCCAAAATTTCACGATTTCCCCCAAAGATTCGTACATAACGACATCGAATTAGTCTATGTAGATTTTTTCAGATTTGTACTAGGCCAGATGAAAATTTTCATATTCCCACCTAAGACTTCCGTACGGATATAGTCACCGAGCCATCTTCGGACGGTCGAAAGTGCCAGAGAACAGAGGAAATCCACGCGAATTGTGGCTTTTCCAGTAAAAAATGATACGCTGAATCGAATGAGACCATGATCAGCCCGATAGGACAAATATTTTTCGAGATATCGGCGCTCAAAGTCAGCTTCTCCCGTTTATTGCCAATTGGAGCACTCCGGTAGGCTACTACGTCTCCATTTTCCAAAATTTCACGATTTCCACCACAGATTCGTTCATTACGACATCGAATTAGTCTATGAAGATTTTTTCAAATTTTTACTAGGCCAAATAAAAATTTTCATTTTCCCACCTAAGACTTCCGTACGGATATAGTCACCGAGCCATCTTCGGACGGTCGAAAGTGCCAGAAAACAGAGGAAATCCACGCGAATTGTGGCTTTTCCTGTAGACAATGATACGCTGAATCGAATGAGACCAAGATCAGCAAGATAGGACAGATAATTTTCGAGATATCGGCGCTCAAAGTCAGCTTCTCCCGTTTATTACCAATAGGGGCACTCCGATCTACGTCTCCATTTTCCAAAATTTCCCAATTTCCACCACAGATTCGTTCATTACGACATCGAATTAGTCTATGTGAATTTTTTCAGAATTTTAATAGGCCAAATAAAAATTTTCATTTTCCCACCTAGGACTTCTGTACGATATAGTCACCGAGCCATCTTCGGAAGGCCGAAAGTGCCAGAAAACAGAGGAAATCCACGCGAATTATGGCTTTTCCAGTAGAAAATGGCACGCTAAATCGAATGAGACCATGATCAGCCCGATAGGACAGATAGTTTTCGAGATATCGGCGATCAAAGTCAGCTTCTCCCGTTTATTGCCAATAGGAGCACTCCGGTAGGCTACTACGTCTCCATTTGCCAAAATTTCCCGATTTCCACCACAGATTCGGTCATTACGACATCGAATTAGTCTATGTGAATTTTTTCAGAATTTTAATAGGCCAAATAAACATTTTCATTTTCCCACCTAAGACTTCTGTACGATAAGTCACCGAGCCATCTTCGGACGGCCGAAAGTGCCAGAAAACAGAGGAAATCCACGCGAATTATGGCTTTTCCAGTAGAAAATGGCACGCTAAATCGAATGAGACCATGATCAGCCCGATAGGACAGAAAGTTTTCGAGACATCGGCGCTCAAAGTCAGCTTCTCTCGTTTATTGCCAATAGGAGCACTCCGGTAGGCTACTACGTCTCCATTTTCCAAAATTTCCCGATTTCCACCACAGATTCGTTCATTACGACATAGAATTAGTCTATATGAATTTTTTCAGAATTTTAATAGGCCAAATAAACATTTTCATTTTCCCACCTAAGACTTCTGTACGATATAGTCACCGAGCCATCTTCGGACGGCCGAAAGTGCCAGAAAACGGAGGAAATCCACGCGAATTATGGCTTTTCCAGTAGAAAATGACACGCTGAATCGAATGAGACAATGATCAGCCCGATAGGACAGGTAGCTTTCGAGATATCGGCGCTCAAAGTCAGCTTCTCCCGTTTATTGCCAATAGGAGCATCTATCAATATTCAGTAAGAGGACAGGCGTAAATTCCGACATGGGGTTGAGTGTTTGGCAGAATACCATTCTCTGTTAAATTAACAGAATCTGTAAGTATGTGTGTAACAGAGTCTGTATCCTACATACATTACATGAATATTTAGGTTACATAGATGGTCGGCAAAATAGCAGCATTAATTGTAAGTAAGTTCTATTGAAATGTAATGATCTTTGATATTTATTTAGGGGCTCCAACCCGCGGGAAAAAGATAGTTTTCAATGAATAAATAAATAATCTGAAACTCCTGACTGTGGAACATACTTCCTGAGTAATTCTGTGTAAAAGTCCACTGTAGGGTATGTTGGCATTGAATCTCCTCAAACAGTCGGAGAAGGATTTCAATTGGGGCGGATTCATGAGCAGCTTCAAGTGCAGACTTTCCGCTTCCTCGTCCACCGGTAAGTTGAGGGGCCCCATCCTGAGCCCCCTCTCGGTGGGCACCATCCTGACGTGAACGTCTTTGTTGCCAGCCGCCCTGACACCGTCGAGAAGCGAGGCAAGAAGAGAATCTCTAAAACATTATCCATATGAAACTCCAACAAATCAACTGTGTAAAGAAACATGCACATTTTCTTTGGAAGAGCACTTTTCAATCAATACTCTCGAAATGTCCTATATTATCATCAACAAAAAGCTTGAATCCAATTTGGAATAATAATAATTAAAGAGCTTTATTGGATTCCCAAAAGGCTACGGACCGAGGCCTTTCAGCCTGTGTTACACAGTGATTATACATTGAGTTTAAATTCATCATTATTGTATGTACAAGATATATGGAATTATTAAATTTGCTGGAGTAAAAAAAAAAGAAGAAAAGTCTATTGTGAGGCAAGAATTTTAGTCTTCTGAATTGTTTAAGCATTCCAATAGTGTGTTTTCCGTAAACTTCCGTCTTGGGACACTGGAATTGGATAATTTGGAGATTGGATTTGTTTTTGGAAAACTTCAATGTTAGCTTTTTCAGTCTCTTAAAAATTGGTTGCACCCTGGTCAGCAGATATAGAAGTTCGTTTGATGGATGATTTTGGTAATAATGGCTCTCAGGCTAGCTCTTTCTGATACTTCCAAATTGTTCAGTGCCGTCTTCCTCGTGTTTATGTCTATTGGGTGAGCATACTCAAGAATTGGGCGGCAAATGGCTTTGAAAATGTTTAGCTCTTGTGATGCACTTTTTTTTCATCAACTGGGTATGCACTAAGTGCACTCCCAGATATTTAACTAATGCCCTAGCTCTCACTACATGATTGTTCACAGTTACCGTGGATGAATCATATGATATTTTTTTATTGAAGAGTATCAGTTGGGATTTTTCTGGATTTGGTTTTAGCCTCCACTTGTCACACCATCTCATAGTGTTCCGAATTGCGTTTTGTAACTCTTCAACTGCTTTTTCAAGTGATTTATGATGACTTATAGTAGCTTTCATATTAATGAGTAATTCAAAAAGTCATGGTCATCAGTCACTAAACATAGAAATTATGTATATTCAATTTCAATTCAACATCTCTATTTCCCATAAGAAATGTACTAAATTATCTAAGTGAAAGGAATGCTAGACCTTTTTAAAAAATATTCCAGATGTCCAAAGTATTTTGCCCATGAGAGTTTTTCTACAAACGTCAAAAAATTTAGTTCTGAAATAGTAATATGCTTTTCGGATCTAAGACTAATGTGAATTGGTATGATTATGTGTCAAGTGATACAATGAAGATATTTACCTGTCTGTTGTAGTATATGTCCTACTTTGCCCGCTCAAATATTCAATTGTGAATAACTGGGGATTGGAATTATCACGAATGAGAGCAAAAATGTTATTCAATGGCTGCAAGGTACAGACACTGTAAGTCTGTGGGTCTCTTTCTAAAATACAGGTTTCTGAAAGACAAAGAGTCCTTCTGACAGGGTCTGTATGTCTAGCTTTATGCACTTTGTACACTGCAAATTCCGATACTGCTGTGATGTGTTCATCATCACTAGAAAATTACAGACGTTTTTAAAATGAAAAAGAAATATTGTCAACTCCAAGTCCATCAAGAATCAGTATTTACCTATATTTTCCAAATCTCTGACATTGAAAATCCTCTAAAGTTATGGCAGTACTTAGTACTTTGATGTTTATTCCTAAATTTGAGGTGGATGACTCAACAATTTTGGTTTTTATTTCTTCAAAATCCACTGCTTGAAACAAATGTAATCTACCAAACCCACCACATACTACTACAAATCCACCTAAAATAATATTCAAATAAATTGACTTGGTCACTAAAAATCTGGTGACTATGCTGTTACATCTCTGAACTGATTTTTAGGAAATCATATTGTTTGGTTTTCCGTGATACTGTGGAAAATTTCCTGTATGTGGATCACATGAAATGGTATGGCAATATTTACCCCAGCCCAACCATTTGATATGCCCTTGCTCATATGTTTTTGCTTGTACTGTATTGGGTGGAAAATATCAGTTAAATCACAAAATATCAATGACTTCCATAATCTTTATAATAAAGCTGTTGTCTACTACTTTTTGAGAGTGAATACTCAAAAGTTAAAAAAGGGGCATTTTAAAAAATTCATCAAAAAGAGAAATTTCTCACATTTTTCTGACCATCATGTATGAATGGACAGATCTAGAATGAATGCTTTGATTCCCTATGAATGTGCCCTGTAGATAAAGTGGTATATAACAAAAATATATCTCCAGAGAGTATCACTGTATCAACAATTCCATTGGGAGCAATTTCAAATAGTAAAATATGAGGTGAAATATGTAGTTCATATTGGATTAAGAGACACTTGATCTCCTTTCACTGACTCCTCCAAATCATAATCACACAATGCAATGCATTGACAAATAAATTGAAAAAATGAGATATACTATTTGACTCCTAGTGGTTCTGAAATATAAACAGCAATTACAAGTATATAGATAAATACTTGGTATTTTTACCCCCAAATGTATTCAAACATTGAGATTGTTCCCACAAGATGAGATTCAAATGATAGCAATCACTGAACTGATATAACAATAGCAGCTTGATAAAGAACACTCAAAAATTTTACACTCCAAATTTATAGAAACTTGATCAAAGATGAGTTCAAAGACTACAAAGTGAATTTCTCAATGTCAGAAGTGCAAGAAGATGTTGATGCTTTCATAAAATTGTTTTGTGACAGTAAGTTAATTTTTTTTGATGAAAAATTTGATTGAATTACTCAATTCACAGTATCCAGATGCCATAAAAATCAAGAATAACAATCTTAAGGCTCTCAAATCATTGATATACACAGTAGTGTCAAAATGTATTGTTTTTATCAGGGTGTTCTACAAGGTACTACATGCACTTGAGATTTATTAATAACTAACTCTCACATATAAATAGATTGAATTGCCTACCTGCAATTCAAACATTTTTTCAAATACCCAAAAAGATCAATAGTTTTATCATTAAATTGTATCTAAAGGAACATATTATATCTGACACAAAGCATTTCAGGGCAAGTTTGAATAAACACTTGTGTTTATAGAGTATATCAGAGCTTTCAGAATAATTTCTGAAATAGGTACAGTGTACATTCTAGAAAATACGAACCTGGATAATCAGACATTGTACATATTCCCTCAAAATCTTTAAAATGGTAACTGGCAAGAATACTGTTGGTAGCAGGATCCAACTGATCAAGGGAATATGAGGTAACTTCCAGAATAACAGGAAGTCTTATATCAGACCAATGATGTTTATAAGCTTGATATCTCTGCAATAAATTATATAATATTTATAAAACATGAGCATAATATTTTGATCACTTCTCAGGGGCTTTGACACACACACTAGTATCCATTTGTTTTACACATACCAGAACTTCTTTAGGCTTTTCAGAAAAACAATGTCTGAACTTCAAAGCTTCTGTGAGTAAATGTGTCCTATGCTCTGTTGAAAATGTCATTTTGTCAGTCTTTTTCTCTTTCTTCATAGTAATTTGGAATTCATTTTGGTTTCCTGATGCCCGTAATGGAATGATAGAAATGAAATCACAGTATGACCATCTGTTGGTTATCTCTAGATTGTTTGGGTTGTATGTTGTTATACCCATGGTACCCACAGAAAAGATCCTTTTATATCTAGAAGTTTATTTTACATACAGTAATAGTACCAAATGTTTATTGTTAATTAACTCACTTTCCTTTCCAAGTTGTGTGTTTGGTACAGAAGAAACAGGCAACATCCTGATTATCCTTTACAGGCATCATCTTCCCTAGGTTCTTGAAATTTCAAACAGTTCACTTAATACACATTTGTTTATTATAATAATCTGGAATTAAAAATAAGAAAACTTTCAATCAACTTCGGACAAACTGGACCGACAAATTGCAATGTAGTCTTGGTTGTTAACAAAAACACAATTTTTCTTTATCGGAAAACATTTTGGGGGTGTCAGCTGTTTGACTGAAATTGAAAATGAAAAGTGAGGTTTTCTTGTAAAGTTGTCCAAAGTCAAACTGTCATCACTCGGCAGTCAATGTCAAATATTTGATTGTTTGTCGTATCAGGTCTCAGTTCCTTTGAGCCTAATACACAAAAAATGTGAATAGCCCTTAAGTACAAAGTCAAAGATCCCAAAATTTAGCCGGATGGCCCTAAAGGCTATGGCCTGTTTCATCGAGAATTCGCGAAAATCACGAACCAATAGATGGCTCTATTTAACGTCAAATCAACGTCAAATTTCAAACTGAGTATGAACAACAAAAACATTGCCGTATGCACTCATTGCAAATTGGTTATTTCGAAATCATTTTGCAAAATAGTGAATAGATAGATAGATAGATAGATAATTTATTCATTTCTACAGAGTTGTCTTACGCGTCTGAGAAGTAAGTCACATACATACAGTTTAAAATCTAGTATAAACATTCAATAAAAAAAAAAAATAAGCATAGAAATAAAACATTACCACAGATTAAAAATAATCACTGACTGAGTATGGCTCCATCCTGAGTAAGTAATTCCGTACCGAGCCAAGGAATCTTTTGGAATTTTGAATAGCTTTTATCTCATCCGGAAGATTATTATAAAATTTTATTGCATTGTACAGTGGACTTGTTTCGAAAATACACTTTTTGTGGATTGGGTAACTATAGTTGTTTTTTAGTCTCGTGTTATGTTCATGATTCATTTTGTGACTGCTGAAGTGATTTTCATGTGTGGTCTGGAATTTGATAGCCTCATAAATAAACAAGGCTGGTACAGTTAACATGTTGTTTTTTTTAAATATTCCCCGGCATGAGCCATCTATCTTCAAATCGAAAATTATCCTCACTACCTTTTTCTGGCATATAAAAACTTTATCCAAGTCCGCGCAACCTCCCCATGTCCCAATCCCAAATTTCATTCTTGAATAGAAATTTGCATAATAAACTGTGATCAGGGTGCTTTGGTCAACATTGTGTTTCAGCACTCTTATAGCATATGTAATTGAAGACAGTTTATTACACAAATTTTCTACCTGAGTTGTCCATGTCATTTTGTCGTTTATATAGACCCCTAAAAATTTGACAGTGTTGTTACATATGATATTTTGATTGTCAATGTTGATAGATTGTGGCTTTTCAATAATATTGTTGATTCTCAGCAACATACAATCCGTTTTTTCATTGTTGATCATCAACTTATTTTCATTGAAATAATCTTTTGTTCTCCTCATTATCGACGTTCCTTTTTCAACGATATCAATAAAATTGGGACCCCTAAGTAAAAAGTTAGTGTCATCAGCATAATTTAAAATTTTGATGGAAGAATCAGTTACTACATTTTTTATGTCGTTCACGAAAATTACAAAAAGTATTGGACCCAGGATACTGCCCTGCGGGACACCCATGGATATCTCCAAGGCACTCGACCTAACTGCACCCTGTTCAGATGATAGTTCAACTACTTGTTTTCTATCTTTAAGGTATGATTTGAACCAATTATAGGAGTTACCGCGTATACCGTATTTATATAGTTTATCTAGCAAAATATTATGATCGATGCAGTCAAATGCCTTGGAGAGATCCACAAAAATGCCACAAGAGAGATCTCCGTCATCCAAGGCTTGCAAAACTTCGACACTGAAGTGAAATAAGGCAGTCTCGATTGATTTATTTTTAAGATATCCATGCTGGTTCTCTGCAAATATCTGGAACTTTTCAAAAAAATTTACCAGTCTTTTTGCCATCAAAATTTCAAGAATTTTTGCAAAGCAAGTTAATAAACTGATAGGCCTATAATTTGATAGACAGTCGGTGTCACCCTTTTTGTGCAAGGGTTTCACGATTGCTAATTTCAAAGCCTCTGGAAAAGTTCCCTCCTCGAAAGATTTGTTTGCTATGAAAGTCAAAATATCAGATATTTCATGTACACATGCTTTTAGGACATGGATCGGAACTTCGTCGAATCCCGTGCTTTTTTTATTTTTCATATTCATAATTACCGTTACAACTTCTTCTGGTGTTACAGGATTCAGGAAGAAATTAAAATTATGAAATTCCATCAGTCTTTGATATTCGTTTTCTCTAGAAGCACTCGTTTGCAACGATGAAACGAGCGAAGCATTATTCACAAAATAATTATTGAATTGTTCTGCCTTATTATATGGGTTGTTTGTTTGAAAATGATTATGGTTATTTGGCTGTACTATTTCTTTTACTGACTGCCACATGGCTTTCATTTTGTTGTCCGAGTGATTCAGTTTATTGATGTAATGCTGTCTTTTTGACGTATTCAATAGATTATTGTAACCAATTTTTGTTTTATTGTATATATCTTTGTATTTTGAATCTAAATTTGATAGGCTCTGGAATAGTACTAGCTGATCTTTCATATTTTTAATTTCTTCCGATTTAAAAGTGGCTCCCGTGACACCCCTGTTGATTCGGCGTTTTATCTTGCAGAAGTTTGTGTCAAAATAGTAAAAGAAAATCTTCATAAAACATGAATAAATTTCATCTATGCTCTGAGAAAGGTATACATCTTCCCATGTTTCTTTCTCAATTTGACGGCAGAAATTAAACACATTTTCATTACTAAAAAATCGCTGTTCCTTGAAATTGTTGTTTGTTTTGTGTTTTTTTACATCACCTTTCAAAATTTGCCCCAGATGATCAGAGATTCCAGTAGGAATGACAATACCCGTTTTCTCACCTTTATAGTTTGTAAGTATATTATCCAAACAAGTCCTAGAAGTTGGTGTTATTCTAGTAGCATCAAAGATTGTTAGCTCGGTACCAAAACTGTCTAAGATATTCATGAAATCTACACAATCTTTGCTCTTTTTGTTTCTAGTATCAATGTTGAAGTCTCCTGCTACAAAATAGATCAGATTCAATTCGTGCAACAGACTGAGAAGATTTTGTAACTTATCAAAAAATATTTTAATATCACTGACAGGTGACCTGTAGATAGAAACAATTATGAAGGTCATAGATTTACTGCTACATTTCGCACTAGAACACTCAAACACCCTTTCCTCAGCAAGTGAGTTGATTTCTTCAATTTGAATGCTCCTGAGTTCCTTTGATACATACACGGCACTACCTCCATGTAGGCCCTCACCTCTGCAATAGCTGGAGGCAAGTGTGTATTTGGAGATGTTCAAGTACTTGATATTTGAGCTTGTTTGCCAGTGTTCAGTTATGCATATGACATAACTGTTAAGTTCTGCAGCCCATTCTTGAACTATATTCAAGCAGTTACCAAAAGATTGAACGTTTTGATGAAAGACTATATTCTTGACTAGTTTGTCGAGAGTTTTTGGATGACCCATAAAAAAGTTTTGTGTACTCTGCTCATTGGTATAAGACGAAGGTACCGTAGAAGATAAGATATCTGATAGTATTCCATTTTCATGATGACTGGTGATGAAAGGGACGAATGAATAATTTATCAGGCCAGTTATCCGGATCTAACAGTTCGTCCATGGACAAATCTGTGCTTCCAATTTTGAAACATTTCTTTCGAAACTTAGATTTAAGATCAAAACAGCATACATCTTTATCTACGAATTTTTCCTTAGTATACTCTTTAACATTGTCAACTGTTGTACATTCGTTCAAGCCACCAATCCATATCCAGTTTCTTGTAGGTGCTACTACCATCAACTTGCTTGGTTGTCCTCGACCATAGGTCCTAGATGAGGAGGGTATAATTGTATGTTTAGCGTCTTTCTTGTATGTTACTGTCTGCCATGGCTGTTCAGGTGATTTCATGTTGTCATCGGCCAAATTAATATACTCATCACATATCCTTTCGGTTTGTACCTTCATTATTTCCAAACTGGCTTGTTTGTTTCCGATAACTGGCTCACCCTGTATATTGGAAACACCTTTTGATGATTCATTTTTAGGGTCTTGAGTCGATAGCTTATTTGGTGATTTTTTGTTATAATTAAAGTGAGGATTATTGCTTATCTGATGTTTTTCTGGAGGGTCCTTTTTTGTGGTGTGCACTTGCTGTGAAACTTGACGACCTTGGTTATTTGATGTTGTTGGATATTGCGTTTTTAAATGATGATTAGATGATAATTTTTGTTCTAAAAATGATATTTTCTCATGCAAAAGATCTATTATGCATTGCTTGTCACTAATAATAACATCTTTGCTCACGATCAGTTGTCTCAACAATTTGATTTCCATTTTCCTCAGTATCTGATTGTTTATGGTCCGATTTATCCAAGGTTAGCACCACATCATCACTAATTTCCACTATATTTTCAAGAATTTCTTGATCACAACAATTTTTTACTCGCTGGGCACAACTGTTATGATAGGATGACTCACACTTTGCACAATTCATTCCTTTGGATACATTTTTCTTGCAATATTTACAGATTCTCTTCAGCTTATCCGAATTACTATTCTCGTCGGCCGCCATGATAGTATGAAGAATGTGTTCCTTGAGTTGACTTCGTGAAATACGTACAAGGTTTCCAGTATGGAAAAATTTACTTTTTGTGCAGAGAAATTGCTATTTGGATGTGGATAATGGTGGTATTCATCATTGATATCACACTACAATTCCACAGTTTTCAAACATATGGAATGGTCGGAATGGTCCACTCAACACTTGCATGGACTGGAAGCAATCCTATTACAAATAGGTATGAAGAAATAATTGAATTCATCAAGAAATATCACTGGCTTTTATGAAGGAGATGGAATTCTAGTGAAGGGGCTGGGAAAAGAAGATATGATTGGAAAGGCTGCTCAAAATGAAC